CCTTTAATTTCTACATATTTGTGAATTTTGCAGCTTTCCTTTTGCTGTTTACAATCTAATGTAATGAGAAAAGGATCTTTGTATGGTTCCAATGTTTTAAAATTTATTAAGACTTATTTTGTGGCCTAACATACACTCTGCTCTGAAGAATGTTTCTTGTGCACTTGAAAAAAAAATGTATACCCTGATGTTGTGAGATGGCCTGTTCTGATGATAGCCATTCTGGCTGGTGTGAAATGATATCTCACTGTAGTTTTGATTTGCATTTCTCTAATAACTGGGGTGGCATGTTCTGTATAGGTCTGTTAGGCCTAACTGACTTTGCCCATTTAAAAATTGGTCTACTTCCTTATTGAATTAAGAGTTTTTAAAAAATATATTCTGGATACAAATCTCTTGTCTGATATATCATTTGCAAATATTTTCTCCCTTTCCCTGGGTTGTCTTTTCACTTTTTCACATTATCATTTGCAGCATAATATTTTCAGTTCAGTTCAGTCGCTCAGTCATGTCCGATTCTTTATGACCCCATGAATCGCAGCACGCCAGGCCTTCCTGTCCATCACCAACTCCCGGAGTCTACCCAAACTCATGTCCTTCGAGTCAGTGGTGCCATCCAGTCATCTTATCCTCTGTCATCCCCTTCTCCTCCTGCCCCCAATCCCTCCCAGCATCAGGGTCTTTTCCAATGAGTCAACTCTTCGCATGAGGTGGCCAAAGTATTGGAGTTTGAGCTTCAGCATCAGTCCTTCCAATGAACACCCAGGACTGATCTCCTTTAGGATGGATTGGTTGGCTCTCCTTGCAGTCCAAGAGACTCTCAAGAGTCTTCTCCAACATCACAGTTCAAAAGCATCAATTTTTCAGCACTCAGCTTTCTTCACTGTCCAACTCTCACATCCATACATGACCACTGGAAAAACCATAGCCTTGACTAGACAGACCTTTGTTGGCAAAGTAATGTCTCTGCTTTTTAGTATGCTGTCTAGGTTGGTCATAACTTTCCTTCCAAGGAGTAAGTGTCTTTTAATTTCATGGCTGCAATCCCATCTGCAGTGATTTTGGAGCCAAAAAAATTTAAGTCTGACACTGTTTCCACTGTTTCCCCATCTATTTGCCATGAGGTGATGGGACCAGATTCCATGATCTTAGTTTTCTGAATGTTGAGCTTTAAGCCAACTTTTTTCACTCTCCTCTTTCACTTTCATCAAGAGGCTTTTTAGTTCCTTTTTACTTTCTGCCATAAGGGTGGTGTCATCTGCATATCGGAGGTTATTGATATTTCTCCTGGCAATCTTAATTCTACCTTGTGCTTCCCGCCCAGCGTTTCTCATGATGTTTTAACGTGGTTTAATTTATTTATTTTTCTTTAGTTGCTTGAGTGTTTGGTGCCATGTTTAAGAAATAATTATCCTAACCCAAGGTCATAAGATATGTTTTCTTCTAAGATTTTCTGCTAGTCAATTTTGGAAAAAAATCTATCTAGGATTATGACAAGAATTGTTCTGAGTCTGTAGTATGATTAGATTTTAAGAAGGAGTAATGGAAGCTAGCAACTTTATGCCACATTAAAAGAATATAGTCATTAAATATAAGAGTTATAGAAATCTTAGATATTATCTAGTCCACCTCTCTCATCTCACAGACAAATATTATGTATTTATATTATGTACTTTATAATTTACAAAGTGTTTTTTTAAATCTAATTGAAACCTCACAATAACTCTGTGTAATAGGTTATATAATTCTTCTTTCTATTTTACTGACAAAGTAATGAAGATAGAAAAGAATTAAGTGACTTACAAGGTCATTCAGACAGACTCGGGACTGATGCTTCTGCCTATAGATTCCCTGTCCAGGGTTTTCAGTGTACTTATATTAATTATGCTTTTTGACTAACAAGGACACGCTCTCAATAAGTGTGTCATTTGTAAAACAAAGTACCATCTGAGCTTTTACCACTATCCTTACTTCTTAACAACTCACTAATTACAAAATTTTTTTCCTTATGCTTGACATCTCCTAATCATGCTATCATGTTCCTGAAACTTTTATTCTACTCTTCTTTTACAGTAATAGGCAGGAAGTCCTCATTTTTCTCAATAGTATGGGACTACAAAAATGAAAATGCAAGATGAAACCATGTAACGAGATTTTTAAAAAATCAATGGGAAAAACATGACCATTCTATGACCTTTAAAAGTTTTTCTCATACCATTAAGATCCTCTTCATATCAGTTACATACATAAAGAGAGTCAAGTTCATATGTTGATCATTTAATCTTCACCAGCTTTCTTGGCTGCACATCTAAAGTCTCTCAAATGGTGGCAAGGTAAACATTCCTTTGGTTGGCTATTTCATCTCTAATTACATCAATATCAGATATAAATTTCACTTCCAGTGTTATACCTTTCCTTTTTAAACTGTACTTTCATCACTGTTGATCAGTTTTCTCTTTGATTATTCACTTTTGTTAAACTTCAAGTTGGTTGTCAATGAGAGACAGAGGCAACACACCTGCATGCTTTGCTGTCAATGCATGATGGGAAAACAGATTCACAGTGACTAATTATTGACAGAATTTGAAAGAAGTGAAATGACTGCTCACTGATCATGATGCACAGTAGTTATTTACATAGTGGTTTAGGGACTGAAGACTAATATATCATGGTAACTTAAACCTGATCCGTATTGTTGTGGACTGATGTCATTTAACCAATCTGTGGTAACAAATTTGTCATGTCAGACTGTACAAAGCAAAGACTGCCTGCATCTATTAGAACTGAGTGTAAAATCTTATTTTTTAAATGTGTCACCATTTTAAGACAAAATAATACCATCTGAAAGAAACAACAGAATACTTTAAATACAAGATTTCCTGGTTTTATCAACTCTGCAAGTATCCAAGCTTAGTGTAGAATTTGCTTATTGAAATATACTTGTAGGCTGCATAGAAAAACTAAGAGTTAGCCTCTTACTTAGAGAGTTGAATACACTGTGGACACTGGCCAACTGAAACATATTTTTCTGCTGTAATTTATTATAATTTCAGAGATGAGTTATTATGATCATTTTGGTTCCATTATAAGAATGTTAAAATTCTCTCAGTCTAGAAAAAATATGGATGAAAATATTTATAAAATTTTTAAATGAAATTTAAAATCAATGAGTACAGAATGGAGTTTGTAACAAATGGTTTTAAGTTATATGGATAATTTATTTGGGAAAAATATATAGTTCCTCACCTCACACAACATACAGAAAAGAAAAATTTAAACTCTATACTGCTAATCTGTAATTAATAAGCAGAAATTTCTCTTGATTACTTCTTACAATAAGTTGATTGACTAGGCAATCAAAATATAGCCTTTTGTCTATATTACAAGAAATTATCTTAAAAATATTATTCAATGAATTCTTATCTCAGTGAGAGCTTTCACTAATTCCACAATTACTTTTCTAGTACTCTCAAGTTTTGTGTTGTAATTGAATGATTGAACATCATTATGAGACAAGATTTCACTGGGAGAAGACACTTGCAATGTATATAATAGACAACAGACGCATCTTGGGTAGTTATAAAATACTTCTGCAAATTAACAGGAATTACTACTCTTTTACATGGAATTAAGCAGTTATCAAATATTTGAAAGTCCAGTGATTCTTAAACAAGTTCTAAATTTGATTCCTTGAGAAATAACACCAAAGTTTTCACACTGACTAGCGGCATAGACGGAGAAGGCAATGGCACCGCCACTCCAGTATTCTTGCCTAGAAAATCCCATGGACAGAGGAGCCTGGTAGGCTGCAGCTGATGGGGTCGCTAAGAGTTGGACACGACTGAGTGACTTCACTTTCACTTTCACTTTTTACTTTCATGCATTGGAGAAGGAAATGGCAACCCATTCCAGCATTCTTGCCTGGAGAATCCCAGGGACGGGGAGCCTGGTGGGCTGCCATCTATGGGGTCACACAGAGTCAGACACGACTGAAGCAACTTAGCAGCAGCAGCAGCATGGAGGGATATGTAAAACTGTTTCAGAGAACCACTTCATACATGCATTTAAGAATACTATTTCACTTTAATTAATTTTATAAGTTACTTTGCTTGAAGCTGTAATATTACACAGCTATTAAAAAGAATTCATTTGAATCAGTTCTAATGAGATGGATGAAACTGGAGCCCATTATACAGAGTGAAGTAAGCCAGATAGATAAAGACCAATACAGTATACTAACACATATATATGGAATTTAGAAAGATGGTAACGATAACCCTATATGCAAAACAGAAAAAGAGACACAGATGTGTAGAACAGACTTTTGGACTCTGTGGGAGAAGGCGAGGGTGGGATGTTTCAAGAGAACAGCATCGAAACATGTATATTATCTAGGGTGAAACAGATCACCAGCCCAGGTTGGATACATGAGACAAGTGCTCGGACCTGCTGCACTGGGAAGAGCCAAAGGGATCGGGTCGAGAGGGAGGTGGGAGGGGGGATCGGGATGGGGAATACATGTAAATCCATGGCTAATTCATGTCAATGTATGACAAAAACCACTACAATATTGTAAAGTAATTAGCCTCCAACTAATAAAAATAAATGAAAAAAAAATTTTTAAAAAGTTACTTTGCTTATAAGCCTCTTCAAGTTAGTTAATAATAATATTAGGACAAAGAACAACAACTCCATCACTAAAAGGGAAAGGAAAACCAAAGCTAGGCAGAAATATGCCTTTTAGTTACTGAAACATACTCAAACAGCAAGATAGAGAGAAAATAAAGAAATCAGAAAGATCCCCCCTTCATCCTTTTTTGGATTGGCTGCAAACTCTAAAACACATCTCCTTACAATATAAAAGAGAAAGAATGAATTTCTTGCCCAGAGATTCATGTCACACTACACTATATCACACTATAGTTTAAGGAAGAATTAGGAGCAAGCACAGTGTTAAAGAAAAATCATATCTGCTCAGGCATATACCTGAGTAGGATTACCTTTGGCCCAGGAAGACCTGGAATACCAATGCCTGAAATACCAGGGTCACCTTTTTCTCCTTTCTGTCCAGGTAATCCTGGGGAGCCAGGTTGTCCAGGAACTCCAGGAGGTCCAAGAGACCCTTTTGCACCCTGGGGGCCTGTTAAAAACACATAACATACAATCTTTTACAAAATATTGTATGGGATATATATAATGCACATGACCACACAAAAAGATTTTTAAAAAGAATTTCACAAAGTCTGATTTATATAATAAGGAGCTTTATAATCAGAATTGTATAAAAGCCTATTTTTAAAGGAAGTTTAAGTGAAAGGGAGTATGTGTTCATGCTAAGTCGCTTCAGTCATGTCAGTCTCTTTGTGACCCTATGAACTGTAACCCTCCAGGTTCTTGGGTCCAAGGGATTCTCTAGGCAAGAACACTGGAGTGGGTTGGAAGGGGGTATAGTTGGAGAAAAAAATGTAAGTTTGTGAATTCTTTCTGAAGTTCTGTCTCTTAATTCCCACTTCAAATACTTGTGTAATGAGAGAGCTCTACCCACTGACTGCCTTATATATCACCTCAGTTTGACTCTGTCAACAACAGTTTCTTTTCTGATAACAAAGATAATCAACCATCTTCCATTAATGGAACTAAATATTTGGGAAATTTTCATTACTCACCTGGAAAACCCATATCACCTATGCTTCCTTTAAGTCCAGGAGGTCCTGTAAGTCCTGGCATTCCAGGGAGACCAGGGTTACCCTTGGGACCTAGGAAAGTCAAATTGCTTAAAATTAAGACAAGTCAGCAATACTATGGTTGCTTGGTTTCCTGGAATGGGTCATAATTAAAATGAAAGCATGAGGCTGAATGGACCAATTATTAATATATGATAAAGTTTCACAAATCTAACTGGACATTAGACAGGCAAAAGTTATCAAGAAATCTCCTTAGGAACATATTACAATATAATCATAGCAATAGAGGGCTCCCAATACACATTTATTTTAAAATGCAAGAATCTTGTGTCTTGCCCTAAAACTACTCCAATTACCTGAAGGCTTATTTGTTGTACACATATAACTATCACCAGGACATCTTGTTTCTTGCCCTAAAACTATTCCAACCACCTGAAGTCTTATTTGTCATATAACTACCTTACTATATTTATCACAGATAAATTCAATTTAAAGAGAGTCTTTTAAAAAGATTCAGAAGCTTTCCCATTGAAAGCCTTATCATGTGCAACCAGAAGAGGAAAGTGGTAACCTGTCATGATACATACACCTTTGGCACATTAAGCCAGGGGTAGGTAAGAGTTGATGGAGAAGTACCGGACTATCTTCCCCCCAACAGTCATGGCTACTGTGTTCAGTTATGGCTGCTGTGTTTGCATTCTTCCCAGAGCTTAGATACTTCAGTTCTATGGTGTCCCCTAGGTATTTTCCAAGGACTACAATGTTGCCTTCAACATTATTTGCTTTTATTTTTTCTTTCACACTGTCTTCTCACTCAGGAAAGAGAATGCAAAGTATATGAAAGATAGATAAGGAGATAATTTTTCCTTCCAACTATATTAAGATAATATAGCATACAGTCCAGAGCAGAATAACTGATCTAAAGGGCTCTTAGGAGGATGGTAACCAGCTACTCTTTATTGTTTAGGGGTCCAACTAAAAGAAAATGGTTTAAGAAGCCGCAAGAAAAAGCTTTATTAGAAACAAAAAAATCCACATTGATTGTAAAAGTGATTAATGCTATAACACATTACCAATGAAGGTTGTGAAATTCTTACTCCTAGAAATGGCAGTCATCTGTTTTACATGGTTTAATGATTAACTTGTCTGAAGGCAAAAAAATGAAAAGGGTGAATTCTTTAGGCTCCTAACAGATAACTGTCTAGTCTACATATGCTACAATGTATATAAATAAAATATAGCACCTTACTTGGATGTACTTCTGATTCTGTGTACACTCTGAGGCCACAAAAAAGAAGAAACTGAGTAAAGAAAAATATCCTCCAAGTCTTTTCTGTTGACATTTGTGCCAATGGCAACATTTTTGTCAAGGAGAGGTCCATATCTCAGTAGCTTCCCAAGCATATTGCCATGACCAGATTCAAAATATCACTACACATGATAAATACACAATTACTTTGTTCCAGGGGTAAGGATCAGCCAGCCACCCAACTACTACAGGTGGTTTATCATACTTACCTGATGGTCCTGGCAATCCAGGTTGTCCGCTCAGTCCAGGTTGCCCTGGGTCTCCAGGCAAACCCTGGTAACCTTTTGGCCCTGCAACTCCAGGAATACCTTCCAAGGATGAGTATAAGAAAGACAAGTTAGGCTGGTATTATTAATCATTAAATATATTTTACAAAGCAAGCTACCCAAACTCTGAAATATGAATGAAATACAGGAACCAGTGATATTCTCATATAGTGTGAACAAATAGCACTGGACTCATTAAAATCTCCCAGTTTTTAAAGTAGCTACCATTAAGAACTTCAGAGCACTCAATAATTAAGCCACTTTCTTCTTTGGGCCTCAGTTTCTTACACTGTAAAATGAAGGAATTGGGGCAGGCCGTCTCTACACTATCTCTTAGATTCTATAACTATCTTTCATAACTTTATATTAAGGCAAATACAGTTTACTGACACTATTTTGCAGAAGGTACAATGGAAAGAGAAGCTTTGCAAGAAGTAAATCAAGAAATGTAATTCATTTTAACAATAATACAAAATTAGGTGGCCTTGCCTCTTTCATGATTATATACAAAATTATAGTAATGTCTTAAAACTCTTGTTTGAGGAGAAATCCCACCAAGCCCTGCTCACAGGGAAACTTATAACATCTATGTACACACACACACACACACCCCTGCACACATACTCACACACATACATGGACTGACAATAGCAATGGTTTCAACACAGAAATAGCCACAAACCTTACTTCAATCTGCAAATAAACAAAGTTTAAAAGTTCCATGTTGTTTGAAAGGATATTCTATGTAGATTGGATTGTGTTTTATTTATTGTTTTGTGCTTATTCATATTTTTCCCCTGGTGGTTCAGCTGGTCAAGAATCTGCCTGTAATGCGGAGGACATAGGTTTGATCCCTGGGTAGGGAAGATCCCCTGGAGAAGAGAATGGCTACCCACTCCAGTATTCTGGCCTGAAGAATCCCATGGACTATCCATGGGGTTGCAAAGAGTTGGACACAACTGAGTGACTTCACTTCATGTATTTTCTGATGCTTTGTTATGAATATGTTATAGTTTTATAAAAAGAATAAAGGATTTTTATTTTAAAAATCTGTTATACTTCATATCTAATTTGCTTCTAATAAAATAAGTGCAATAACACAATTGTTTCCTAGACCTACTTCCAGCAACCTTCCCCAGGGGTGTTTGGCTGTTCTTAGTCCAATATTTGTTTATTCTTTTAGGTTAGAATAACAGTGAACTGTACTTAAAAATTAAGTATGATATGGGTATCAAAAATCTGCAGGACAACAGTGTACCACTCATCTTCATTTGGTTTCAAGAAAAAAAAATTTTAAATGGCCAGAAAATTTCCCAAACACTGAAATCTGTTTTCCAAGTAATTCTGGTTATTTATCCATTTTCTCTTGATCATATTTTATACACTACTTTCTGGAAGGCTTGAAAGTGACTGTTTATTTTAAAGCCTCATAGTCTGTGATAGATAAACTACAAAGAAAACACTCAAACAAAAGTTGATCAGTGAAACAGTACAAATCAGTAAAAACTAGCTTTCATTACCAAAATTTGATATACCTAATTGCCTTAATCCTGGATTACAAGTCACTTTCCATGCTAATAAAAATTAAACTTCATACCCACCAGGAGAAAAATTAAAATAAATGCATCCACTTACCTGGTAGGCCAGGGTCCCCTTTCTCTCCTTTTGAGCCCAGCAGATCTGGATCCATTGGCCCAGGAAGGCCTGGAAGGCCAGGCTCTCCTTTACTACCTTTCTCTCCTGCAGGGCCAGGAAGTCCTGGCTGACCCTGCAAACCATCCTCACCTAAAACCAACATGTGTGGGAAAGACACAGCAGATCAGGTTCATCTATCCAGGATTAATGCATATAAAGATTATTCATATGTTACACAGTTGGGTAGGCCACTGACCACCCAAAACACTCATGCACCTTATTTATTGTCTATAAATAACTCGAGCTCACTTTTACACTCAAACAACAATCTCTCTCCTGGTGTTCTCTGACAAATACAGACTGTAAAAAAAAATAAAAATTAAATCCCTGTATGTTGTTATTTTGAGTTAATGCTTATCATATTTCATAGTATTCAAACTAAGCATGCCATCAAACTAAAAACAGGAACTACTTAAATGCCATGTCACTTAGAAACAAAATACAAATAAAGCATTGCTCATTTTTAAGCAGTCAAATAAAAGTATTCTGTGTTGACGTAAAGGAAAATTTTTAATTTTCTTTCTTTCATACATCTGCCAGCAAACCCTGAATATTACCTTTGAGACCAGGAACACCACTCCTGCCAGGAATTCCCAAAGGTCCTGGTGGGCCTGGAGGTCCCATCATACCCATTTCACCTTTGGCACCTTTGAAAAATATCAATACCTTTTTACCTTTCCTTGACCTTGGAAAGATAAAAGATCAGTTTAGAGATGTCAACTAGAAAACTACTGAGTTAGAGGGAAGGTACTATAAGGTTTGCCCCTTTACAACTATTGTAATCTTAGTGACCACTACTGTCTATATCACTGTGGTAGTTAGTCTCTAAATATGGTCCCCAAATGAACTGCACTTCCCAGTACACACAGCTTTGTGTACCCTTCTCCCCTTGAATTTGGGATGACTCTGTCTTAACCTTGACTATGTGACCCTGTATAACTCCCAAGGCTAGATGATAAGAACTCTAGCAGCTTCCACCCGGGGCTCTGAGAACACTCACTTTCAGTTTTGAGGATTCTCTCTTTTGGAAACCAATTGCCCTGGAAAAAGAGCAACTACCCTGAATCTATCATATGTGAGGTACCCCTGTGGATAATGAGATAACATGTGAAGAGGCCAATGAGCACTCAGGTATCACAGTAGTGCCACGTTGAAAGTATCTCCATTCCAACCATGGTACCAGTTGGTACCATGTGGATCAGAGATAAACAACGCTGTCTAAGTCATTCAATAATTCCTGATCAATAAAATCTTGAGCAAAATTAAGACTGCTTTAAATCATCATATTTTGGGGTCATTTGTTACACAGCAATATATAACTGGAGCGCTCAGAGAGAAAAAGTGCAATGCAAATAGCAAAGTGAGTTTCCCACAATCAGAGACATTTAATACATTTCCTTAAAGGATAGTGTCAATTGAGAAAATCACAAGAGAATAATACACCAGAGTCATATTAGTTCTAATTTCTGGAATCCCAAACCAGGGAAGGCTAAAAAATTACCTGGAAAGCCAGAGGCACCTGCTTTTCCTGGGAGCCCTGGTGATCCTGGGGGTCCCATAGGACCTGGTGCTCCAGGGATCCCTGGACTGCCTCTCTCACCAGGAGGTCCTGGAACATCAAATCCAGGAGGCCCTGGATCCCCCTTCTCTCCTGGTAGTCCATGCAAGCCTAGTTAATAAAAACCAATATTAAAAAGTATTGAAGCAATTTTAAGAGATGTATCCGGTTATTTTTTAGCAAACAGGTAATAGAATCCTGTATACAACCAACCTAACAGTGAGCTAGGGATACCTTTGGTATCATGTGCAGAAAATAATCTAACAATAAAACTTTAGGATTTTCAAGTATATTTTCTTAAGAATGGACTTCTGAAATTATTTCTCAAAAAAGACCAATCTTTTCTTAATTGCTACAATCATGTACTATTTTTAATAAAATGTAATAAAAAATACTAAAAAACTAAAATAAAAAAGACATAAAAATACAATCCTATATCGTGGTTATTATAGTCAATTAATACATTAATACAATTATGCAATCAAATGCTTACTCTCAATTTCTTCTAATTTCAGTGCAGACTGTAACAAACAGTCTGTGATTCGACACTGGTCACTGCCCACACTTGGATTTCCACTATTCTAAGGTACTGTGAATTATTAAGATGTATTTCTATAACCCATACAAAATTAATCACTGCATAAGTCAGTTACATGGGTCCTCTTGACTTTATTTTGGCTTTGTTTTAACATGTTGTTTTAATAACACATTACTATTAGTTTTTGTTGTTAACTTTTGTTTCTCAGTAATCCAGCCAGGATTTTATAGAAAAATTATGACATTGCAAAAATAGACTCCAGAAAACAAGGTAATTAAAAAAGAATACGTTTAGTGAAAGGAATTATACTACAAATATAGTGCAAGTTCCTACACCAACACCTATCAGCTATATGACTTCTTAAGTCACTTAAAGTTATTGGTCTTCATCTGGTAAATGGGGATGTGCCATAATGGACTGAAAGCTGGGAGTGAAACAGGTGATCATTCCAAGCATCTCTTCAACAATATGACCAGTTTTACTATTGAAGATTCACAGGCAATTATTGTTATAAGAGAACAAGATGGCTGGTATTTTAAGACCTGTTTGGTGTCATATTACCAGCATGCCTTTAAACTGATAAAATTCACTTTGAAGATTAGAGATTTCCATTTAGTTGGCACAGTAGTGATGATTCCAATGCTGCCATTTCATAGTAAAAAATACTATTAAAGGGGAGAGATATTTTATATTATATTTATGAAATATGATATCTGATAATGTACACAATTATAGCTCTACATGGATCACTGTTTATTGTTATATTACAGCCCAAGTAGTTTTTAATAGCTGAGTTTTCAAGATAACTATTTTGCCCCTTGAAATATGCTCCAAGAGAGCAGTTCTACAAAATAATTAAAAGACTTCAATGTGGATAAATCTTGTTGCTTTCCAAGTTTAAGGCTTGAAGATATGAATTTTGAAAAAAAAACAGATGAATAAGGTATGAGGATCTAATGTAATAACATGGTGACTATCACTAATAACATTATTGCATAATTACAATTTGCTAATATAGTAGAACTTGAGGGTTCTCACACACACAAATCAGTAAATATGTAAGGTGATGGATGTGAGAACTTGATTGTGAAAATTTTTTCACAATGTATACATATATCAAATCATCACATTGTACATTTGAAATATATTACAATTATCTATGTCTTTTACACCTCAATGAAGCTCAAAAAATAATAAATCAAAGGAAAAATAAATATCCTATTTACAGCTTCTCAGAACTGTTTTCATGTGCTATCTTTTGCATCTTTTATGATGATGCTATTATATTTGGATGATTTTTTTCTACTATTTGTTCTAATATAATAAATTCTCAATATTAAAAAAGAAAAATATGGCTTTGAGTGAGAACTACAATACCTGGTAGACCTGAAGTTCAAGAGGCAGGAAATTACAGTTCAGCAGCAAGATGAACCACCCAAGCAGAAGCAAGTTGCAAATAGATTAATTAGGTTAGGAAACAAAACTAACCATGTAAAGATTAGAAAAAAAAGTCTACAAATAGAATTTATTAGATATTGATTCACTACTAACATATTAGTAATGAGTAAAGAAACTTATTTTAGGCATTTGCTCAGATGCTCATATAACATATACTATAAATATGTTTGCCAATAGAGAGAATAAAATATTTATTTCAGAAAAATACTTTTTATGAAGATCAGCAATACACTCTTGTTTATTTCTGATCTTTACACCGCTTTGAATGATCATTTCAGAATTTAAGCTTTTAAAGTTTAGTTAGATTTAAAATTAAACTTGATTTTGTACTCTAACAGATTAGGTTGTTGTTTAGTCGCTAAGTCATGTCCGGCTCCCTGCGACCACACGGACTGCAGTCTGCTAGGCTCTTCTGTCCATAGGATTTCCCAGGCAAGAATACTGGAGTAGGTTGCAATTTCCTCCTCCAGGGGATCTTTCCAACCCAGGGATCAAATCCACGTATTGTCAGGCGGATTCTTTACCACTAAGCCACCAGGGAAGCCTGTACAGGTTAGGTACAGAGAACTCAATAATTATTAGTGCATGTCTATGATGAAGCAAACTACATGTTCTAGGCTAAGATCTCTTCATTGTTATTAGTAATAACAGTAACATATGTTATGCTGTATTTTTCACAGCATAGATCTTTTCCATGACTATTGTCAGGAATTGGCATCCTGGTAAAATCCAGGATGAAGAAAGTCAATATAAATTCAAAAGTTCTGCTGAATCTTATACAGTAACAGGAATTATATGGCTATATCTATAGAGGCTAAGTGCATTAAAGGTGTATAATGTTCTTAATTTATTGACAGCCAAATGGAACAAGTTAATGGAAAAAAAGAAAATTCCAAAAATATGCATTATGTGTGAAAATGTTAAACACACACAATCCAAGGGTTTTATAGCCAAAAAAGTTAGAAAATGACAATGTACTCTCCTTCATCTATGAAAATGACATGACTAATGCCTTGTTTCTTTGATTCACATTAGTGGTGATAAGTTTGAACTCATTTAGCTACGCACGTGTTCCTGAGACTGGACAAGTGTACAACATGTTTGACTCAGGTTAGGGTATTACCTGTGAACATGGAATTAAGTATATTTAACTGACCTCTAAAAAGATTCACTAAAGCAATTATCTTACAGCTATTGGCCAGACCAAATAATAAGAGCCAACAACTTCCATTTCTCTCTTACTAAGGTATAAGATGAAAAACATTCTGCTCCTTGTCCTTTGGCATTTTTAAAAAATGTTATTTTCCTATCGCCAAATGAGGAATTGATATTCAACAAGTCTTTAACTTAAAAACATGCATTAAACTGTACAGTCTGTTTTGGAAAAAAGAATGACAAATAGTAAAGCTTAATTAAATAATAGCAGAAAACTGGAGTCAAAAGAAAAGCCTGAAAAGGATGTATCTCTGGAGAAATGACAAGATGGAATACTTTGCAGTAAGTTTTCTACTACAAAATGAAACACAGCAAGTATATTAAATAAGCTTCTTATTTTAAAAATAGGTAGTTAGAATTTCAGCCACGCAGTATAAGTTGGTGTATCAAGATATTAGTAGTAGCCTTGCTGATAGTCCTGTTATTGAGACGTACAAACAAAAATTATGGTATTTTTGAAATACACTAAGACAATACTCTGCTTTGGTGATTCATGCAAATTTACTTTAAGAGTGAGTATACACTGCTATTATCAAGTATAAAATATAGTCATCTGGTGGTAAAAAATTGTGATTTGAGAATATTTCTATGTTAATAAGAATGTATTCAATACATTTTTGTGGCAGTTGCTGTTAACTTCATATATTTGTTGAACCATATTAGTTCAGATCTTCAATTGTATGGCAAAATATATATTTACAGAAGAAAGAGATGAGATTAAATTCAGCATCATTACTTTTCCCCCTGCCCATCCTATAGACTTTATAAATATACCTATATATCCATGAATTAGAGAGAACATTAGATGAATGAAATATTGTAGAATATTAGCTAAATTTTAAAAAGCATTAAAACACAAATAAATGTATTTTTATTTTGTTCAGATTGGTATTAATTGGTATTAATAATCTCTTTTTAGTCTTGCTCAGCTGTGATTTCAGAGTTCAAAATGCTTCTGAAACCTTATGTAATTTTGGGAAACAAAATGAAAAAACAAAACAGAAATCATAAATTCATTTTAGCCATTTTGTGAAATAGCAGGCCAAGACTATAATGACCAAACGTAAAAATTAATTGTTTTTTCTCAAGATCCCTCTGCTATGCTAGTTAGACAGAAGGGTTTCTCATTAATGTTGAAGCACCTACTTTTTAACCAGTTGGTTCAAAGCAACACCATTAGTTTTCTTTTTTATTTCTAAATCAGTAGTGACATGTTAAGGTCCATTTAAAAAAAGATACAATGTGCCATAAAACAAATGTTTAAAATAGGACATAAGCAAAAGTAACCTTTACTTTCCAGGCTTTTTATATTGTTAATGAGTGTTTCTAGATTTTTAGCATAATAAACTAACAAAATACCTATTGGCATTTAAGGTCAGAAAACATATTCCATTGCTTCAAAGTCAACGTATGTATATCTGAATGGTGCATTTAAGTCATCTGATGTATTCATGTGAATTAAGGAATGACTAAATGTTCCATATTTGCTTTAATTTCATATATTATTATAGTACTTTGCAATAACAAAATCTTGGCCCATGTGTGACCCTTACAATATCTTCCTAGATTAAGATAAAAGTAATTCACACCACCAGATAGTTCAGAATCTGTAAACTCTCGCATGAACATAGAGGAATCATATGATTCTCTATGAAGTTATAAGCTGACAAATATTTTTGAGTATTAATATTAAAAAAACCTTAGCATGCTTATGAGTTGCAAAGTAAATACTGACTTATGGGCAAAAGAAGAGAAATTTCAATTAAACTCACTTATTTAAAAAAATGAGGATACCTAAAAAATATTTTTAACATAATTTTTTTTTCATTTATTTTTATTAGTTGGAGGCTAATTACTTTACAGTATTGTAGTGGGTTTTGTCATACATTGACATGAATCAGCCATGGAGTTACATGTATTCCCCATCCTGATCCCCCTTCCCACCTCCCTCTCCACCCGATTCCTCTGGGTCTTCCCAGTGCACCAGGCCCAATGCAATCCCTATCAAGCTACCAATGGTATTTTTCACAGAACTAGAACAAATAATTTCACAATTTGTATGGAAATACAAAAAACCTCCAACAGCCAAAGTTATCTTGAGAAAGAAGAATGGAACTGGAGGAATCAACCTGCCTGACTTCAGACTCTACTACAAAGCCACAGTCATCAAGACAGTATGGTACTGGCACAAAGACAGAAATATAGATCAATGGAACAGAATAGAAAGCCCAGAGATAAATCCATGAACCTATGGACACCTTATCTTCGACAAAGGAGGCAAGGGTATACAATAGAAAAAAGACAACCTCTTTAACAAGTGGTGCTGGGAAAACTGGTCACCCACTTGTAAAAGAATGAAACTAGAACACTTTCTAACACAATACACAAAAATAAACTCAAAATGGATTAAACATCTAAATGTAAGACCAGAAACTATAAAACTCCTAGAGGAGAACATAGGCAAAACACTCTCTGACATGAATCACAGCAGGATCCTCTATGACCCACCTCCCAGAATATTGGAAATAAAAGCAAAAATAAACAAATGGGACCTAATGAAACTTAAAAACTTTTGCACAACAAAGGAAACTATAAGGAAGGTGAAAAGACAGCCCTCAGATTGGGAGAAAATAATAGCAAATGAAGCAACAGATAAAGGATTAATTTCAAAAATATATAACATAATTTTTTTAATCCTGTGCTAAGAAATGTTATGAGGTTTCACAGGCAAAGCTCTGTTAATGCCATATAGCTACTCAGGTCCAAAATGATTAGCACCAGAAGTTCCTAAGATTCCAACGGTATGATTAGCTCAACGATTATAAGCCATGGAAACATACTGCAATTGCTAAACTACACTGTTGTTAATAGATCAATCTTAAATGAACAGAGAGGGGAAATATCAGGTAATATTAGCTCTTCTGCTGTGATCTGTGCTCTTTTGCTTTTGCATAATTATATACATGGACATGTTAACTCTCAGATCTGCTTTCTGTAAGACTATTACATAGGTTACACTTTATTGAGGGGTTAACCAACCTCTACATAATTATGCTACAAAGTGCATATTTACTCCAATCTTACCAGGTTGGCCTATTGGTCCAGGAATTCCTGGTGGCCCTGGTGGTCCCTGAAAACCTGTTCCTGGCAGCCCAGGAGGTCCCATTGGCCCAGGTTGTCCATTTGGTCCAATGTCACCTTTAAGGAATAAATATAGTTTAGATATTAAAAACAACAGCTGAGTCACTTGTCTTTAGCATTGGATCACAAAGTTATAATTACAATAATTTTGTAGCATGTTTTAACTTATGTTTGCTAAACATTAACTTTCAGAATCAGTTATGTCATGTCCAAAAATTCCTACTTGAATTCTCATTGAAAATGCAGTATATGTATAGATAAATCTGGGGAGAATTGACTATGTCTTCCCATCCACACAGAAGACTTAGCAACTTCTTAATAAGAGTTTTAATTTTTTCCACAAATACATTAGGCACATTTTGTTTTATTCATTTCCAAATATGATACAGATTTTTTTTTGCAAATTACACTTTATTTCCTATTTATTTTGATATTTATAAACACACCATTCTATTTGTCACAACGATTTTTGCATGTTATTTCTGCTACCTGGAACATCCTTCCCTAAAGATTCAGTTAAAATGTCACCTCTTATATTGCTTCCCAAGGTACCTTAGAAGAGGCTCTGAACAAAAGTAACGCAAGAGGTAAACTGAATGCTTCCAAAGTCATCTTTTCATTTTTGTTTAATGATTCCAATGGTCAATCTTAAGCACATTTTCTCCCTCATATAGTTCTTTCCTGATGGACATTAGCTATACTAGTTTATTATTGGTCACTATGTTGCCTTGAAAATGTTGTATCAATTTCTTCTAAGTTTTAATACCCAATCACTGGTATAAATATATCTAGTGGGTGAAATTTTACTGTGACCTGCTTGCTGTGTTTTGACTGTGGTCTATTGGTCCAAAACATTAGTGATACATATTCATAAAGGTTTCTATTGAGAAAACCAAGATCATGGTGAGGCCCTCTATGATTTTTTTTTTTTTACAGTGGAGAACAATCTCTGAGATATTCAAGAACAGAATCAATGCCTTTGTGTTTCTAGGGATTAAAGTAGTAGGCACACAATAAGAACATAATAAATGTTTGAGGAATAAAGGAATTAGACAGCAGAAAGTCCCCAATTCTTTTTTTTTTCTAGCACCTTAGGAACTTTACTGAGTTTTAATATTTGAGAATGAATCCTATGTAGGATATGAGGATTCTATACTTCAATGGTTAGGCAAATGCTTCATAGGGAGCTGATATTTAAACTAGACTTCAAGCTCTTTCTTCTCAACATCTGTCTCAAGGCTGTTATTATAAACAAAGTATAGTGAGAGAGCAATTTCCATATAGACTGTTAGCCACATAGCTTATCATCTGACATATTTCTATCTGTTAAGTTTTGGGGTCACAGGTCTAAGCCTGGGGACATAGTTGATAGGAAACACTACCTGTAACTTTGACTATTAATTACAGTTTATAGCTAGCCAGAATTGTCTACTCAAAGATAGGAAGGTATTTTTAAAAGTGCTTATCTGAGAAGAATTTGTATTGGTTCAGTTTGGGGCCTCTGCTGGCAAAATATAGCCTGGTTAAATTTTGTTTTGCTGTTCTGTTGCTTTAATGGGAATCAACCCAACATTTTTCAGGAGCATGGGGTTGTTCAGACTTTTCTCTGGGGGCGAAACTGTTTACCAGGAGAGTCTAGTTCCTTGCAAGCCAGAAAGGAAAAAAACAATCGCCAAACCAGTTAAGATGAGTTTTATTCATATATATAATTAGGGAAATCAAAATCAAGGGGATAAGAGAAACCAATAAAGAAATGAACAAAGGACATGAGCAGTTTACATGAAAAAAAATTCTTTAAACATATGAAAAGATGGTCTATTTCACTTATAATAATGGAAATACCATTATTTTAACTATAAATTTAATTATAAATTTAAATTACCCTGAAAGTAAAGTCAAAGGACCTAGTATATCCAAAGAGATTTTCTAAAAAGAACAAAGTTGGAGGACTTACATTACCTGACATCAAGTCTTACTATAAAACTACTGTAATGTAAACAGTTGGTACTGACTTAGGATAATAAAATAGACAGGTAGAATTGAGAGCACAGAAATACACCTACACATAAAAAAATTATTTGATTTTTGACACAGGCACCAACATAATCCAACGGGGAGAGAGCTATTTTAAATAAATGATGCTAAGCAAAAATCATTTAAAATGGATGACAGTCTCCAACATAAAAGCTAAAACTGTAAAACTTACAAAAATAAAACAGAATATGTTTGTAACTTTGGAACAGGGAAAGTTTTCTTAGGCAAAACACAGAAAATAATAATCATACAACAAAAAAACTGATAAATGAAAAATCAATAAAATTAAAACTTTTGCTCATCAAAATACACTGATAGTAAAGTGAATAGGCAAGCCAGACAGGAATAAAATACTCATAAACATATATTTGACAAAGAACCAGGATGCAGGATATGTAAAAGTCACTTTGAACTTATCAATAAAAAGGGGAACAAACCATATTTCAAAGGGGGGACAAAATCTGAATGTGTAAATAATCCACACATACATGCAAAAGAGCTCAACATCACTAGTCATCAGGGAAATGCAAACTGAAACCAAAATACATTACCAACATACCTACTAAAATTCAAAAATGAAACGATCGATAACAGCAAATGGTGGAGAGAATGCAGAACAACTGAAACTTCCATACTGTATTGGTTAGAAAATGATACCACCATTTTGGGAAAAGGTCTAGTAGTTTCTTTTTTACTACTGAGGTATGGTTGATTCGCAATATTATATAAGTTTCAGGTGTACAACATAGTGATTCACAATTTTATTTTTTTATTTTTATTTATTTTTTAAAAAAATTTATTTATTTTTTAAATGGTGGAAAGTTGCTTTATAATTTTGTGTGGGTTTCTGTAGTACAAGTCAGTATTATAGAACAACTGTACTGTGATTCACAATTTTAAACATTATATAGTACATTTATAGCTATTATAAAAATACTGGCTATATTTCTGGTATTGTACAGTATATCCTTGCAGCTTATTTTATACATAGTTTCTACCTCTTAATCCCTTACCCTATCTTACCCCTCCCCACTGTTAACAACTAGTTTGTTTTCTTTTTTTTCCTTTATTTTTATTAGTTGGAGGCTAATTACTTCACAACATTTCAGTGGGTTTTGTCATACATTGACATGAATTAGCCATGGATTTACATGTATTCCCCATCCCGATCCCCCCTCCCACCTCCCTCTCCACCTGATTCCTCTGGGTCTTCCCAGTGCACCAGGTCCGAGCACTTGTCTCATGCATCCAACCTGGGGTGGTGATCTGTTTCACCCTAGATAATATACATGCTGTTCTCTTGAAACATCCCACCCTCGCCTTCTCCCAGAGTCCACAAGTCTGTTCTGTACATCTGTGTCTCTTTTTCTGTTTTGCATATAGGGTTATCATTACCATCTTTCTAAATTCCATATATATGTGTTAGTATGCTGTAATGGTCTTTATCTTTCTGGCTTACTTCACTCTGTATAATGGGCTCCAGTTTCATCCATCTCATTAGAACTGATTCAAATGAATTCTTTTTAATGGCTGAGTAATATTCCATGGTGTATATGTACCACAGCTTCCTCATCCATTCATTTGCTGATGGGCATCTAGGTTGCTTCCATGTCCTGGCTATTATAAACAGTGCTGCGATGAACACTGGGGTGCACGTGTCTCTTTCAGATCTGGTTTCCTCGGTGTGTATGCCCAGAAGTGGGATTGCTGGGTCATATGGCAGTTCTATTTCCAGTTTTTTAAGAAATCTCCACACTGTTTTCCATAGTGGCTGTACTAGTTTGCATTCCCACCAACAGTGTAAGAGGGTTCCCTTTTCTCCACACCCTCTCCAGCATTTATTGCTTGTAGACTTTTGGATAGCAGCCATCCTGACTGGCGTGTAATGGTACCTCATTGTGGTTTTGATTTGCATTTCTCTGATAATGAGTGATGTTGAGCATCTTTTCATGTGTTTGTTAGCCATCTGTATGTCTTCTTTGGAGAAATGTCTGTTTAGTTCTTTGGCCCATTTTTTGATTGGGTCATTTATTTTTCTGGAATTCAGCTTCAGGAGTTGCTTGTATATTTTTGAGATTAATCCTTTGTCTGTTGCTTCATTTGCTATTATTTTCTCCCAATCTGAGGGCTGTCTTTTCACCTTCCTTATAGTTTCCTTTGTTGTACAAAAGCTTTTAAGTTTCATTAGGTCCCATTTGTTTATTTTTGCTTTTATTTCCAATATTCTGGGAGGTGGATCATAGAGGATCCTGCTGTGATTCATGTCAGAGAGTGTTTTGCCTATGTTCTCCTCTAGGAGTTTTATAGTTTCTGGTCTTACATTTAGATCTTTAATCCATTTTGAGTTTATTTTTGTGTATGGTGTTAGAAAGTGTTCTAGTTTCATTCTTTTACAAGTGGGTGACCAGTTTTCCCAGCACCACTTGTTAAAGAGGTTGTCTTTTTTCCATTGTATACCCTTGCCTCCTTTGTCGAAGATAAGGTGTCCATAGGTTCGTGGATTTATCTCTGGGCTTTCTATTCTGTTCCATTGATCTATATTTCTGTCTTTGTGCCAGTACCATACTGTCTTGATGACTGTGGCTTTGTAGTAGAGTCTGAAGTCAGGCAGGTTGATTCCTCCAGTTCATTCTTCTTTCTCAAGATTGGCTATTGGAGGTTTTTTGTATTTCCATACAAATTGTGAAATTATTTGTTCCAGTTCTGTGAAAAATACTGTTGGTAGCTTGATAGGGATTGCATTGAATCTATAGATTGCTTTGGGTAGTATAGCCATTTTGACAATATTGATTCTTCCAATCCATGAACACGGTATATTTCTCCATCTGTTTGTGTCCTCTTTGATTTCTTTCATCAGTGTTTTATAGTTTTCTATGTATAGGTCTTTTGTTTCTTTAGGTAGATATACTCCTAAGTATTTTATTCTTTTTGTTGCAATGGTGAATGGTATTGTTTCCTTAATTTCTCTGTTTTTTCATTGTTAGTTTATAGGAATGCAAGGGATTTCTGTGTGTTAATTTTATATCCTGCAACTTTACTTTATTCATTGATTAGCTCTAGTAATTTTCTGGTAGAGTCTTTAGGGTTTTCTATGTAGAGAATCATGTCATCTGCAAACAGAGAGAGTTTCACTTCTTCTTTTCCTATCTGGATTCCTTTTACTTCTTTTTCTGCCCTGATTGCTGTGGCCAACACTTCCAAAACTATGTTGAATAGTAGTGGTGAGAGTGGGCACCCTTGTCTTGTTCCTGATTTCAGGGGAAATGCTTTCAATTTTTCACCATTGAGGGTGATGCTTGCTGTGGGTTTGTCATATATAGCTTTTATTATGTTGAGGTATGTTCCTTCTATTCCTGCTTTCTGGAGAGTTTTAATCATTTTCTATATCTGAGAATCTGTTCCCTCTTTGTTATATTCACCAGTTTTTTTCTTAGATTCTACATATAAGCCCTATCATACAGTATTTGTCTTTTTCTGTCTGATTTATTTCATTAAGCATAATATCCTCCAAGTCTATTCATGTTGTTGGAAATGGCAAAACTTCCTTTTGCTTTTTTTTTTTTTTTTTTACTGTGTGTGCTCATGTGCTCAATCATGACTCTTTGTAGCCCCAAGGAATGTCGCCCACCAGGCTCCCCTGTCCCTGGGATTTCCCAGGGCAGAATACTGAAGTGGGTTGCTGTTTCCTCCTCCAGGGTGTCACTTGAGTCTCCTAAATTGGCAGGTGACACAGAATTATGTATCTGCTAAAATCCTGAAAATGTACCCTTAGGATTTGCACATTTCATTTATTGTGAATTTTGCATCAAAGAAAAAGAACCGCCATAGAATTACAATGAATGACAAGCATGCTGTAGTACTGAAGGAGAAGTTATTGGTGTTGTAGTTTACTTTGAGTTGCATTAAAAATAAGTCAATGAAAGGAGAAAGGGATGGACAAATGTGACAAATCTTACATAGTAAAATGTTGATAGTAGCATATCAATGGTGGGTATAAAGTAATCACTATCAAATTCTTTCTACTTTTCTGTATAAATACAATTTTTAAAAATTAAATGTTGGAAGGGAGAAAAATACTAACTGTAGAATCTAAGTGGTAGATATATGGATTTTCCCTGTACAATTCTTATTAATATTTTATGTGTGTTTGAAATTTCTCACAATAAAATGTTTAGAAAACTATACTGAGATACCTACTTGTTTCCAACAGTTTGGCAAAAAATCCAAGAGGTCATCAACGTACTCATTTAGCAAGGCTGTGGGGAAACAAGCACACTCATACATTTTGGCTGGGAGTGTAAAGGGTGTAAATGGAGAGGAATCTGTCGATATATAGAAATGCATTTGTCCTTCTGTTCAGAAAATCCATTTTTATTGTTCTATTCTAACACTACACATAGGAAATAACAGGTATGCAAGATTATTCACTGTAGCATTATTTCTAATAAGAAAAGATTGCTAAAATCCCAATCTAGCAACTAGCAACTGGTAGAACAAACCATGGTATACCCAAGCAATTCAATACTAGGCAACTATTTTTTTTTTAAATCATGATCTCTATACACTAATATGGAGGGATCTCTAGAATATAAAGTTAAATGAAATAAGTAAAATGCAAAGAGTCAAAAGGTAGTAATCTATCTTTCGAGAAAGGTAGGAAATATATATATATATATATATATATATATATTCCTATTGACTTGTATTTGTATGAAGGAACATCAGAAGGATAAATAACTAAAAAATAGCTACACATGTGATGTGGAGGAACATAGTAGATGGAGATGGGATAAAGGGAAAACTTCTTATAAAAGTGTTACTCCAATACATATATATCACCTATATAATGAAATAAAACACAAAAATATCAATGGAGGATTTAAAAAAAGCCATGATGGGGAGTAGCATAGGCTTTCTAGTTAATTGGATTTATCACCCATAAACTTTCCCAACAGTTTCAATTTCTTCAAAAGTTAAAAGCAAATTGAGAAGTAGCAAATGCCTCCATACCTTTTGGTCCAGGTAGCCCATCCAAGCCAGCTTGTCCTGGAGGACCTTGAGGTCCTGGGAAACCACGATCCCCTTTTGGACCAAGTATTCCTTTGAAACCTGGGAGTCCTGGAGGCCCAGGTGGCCCAGGTAGCCCAAATCCTGGTTCTCCCTAGAGCATATACATGATAAAACACAACAAAATTCCCATGACTTTCTTGGTGTTTACTGTTTACTATAGAGAATTTAAAGCAGACAATACAAGGTAATATTCCCCCCTGCTATGATAAAGGGAATAGGATAAATAAATGAAAAGTAATTGGTATGCAGTACAGAACATCTGAAAGGATAGGAAACCGGGCTTAGTAAAACAAATTGAATTATGTGGTCTGGTTTCAGGACAAGAAAGAAATATCTGAGAGAGCATGACACTAAAGAACCCAAGTGAGGAAATGTGATTACAGATTAGGTGATTATTTTAAATTTGACTAAGAATGATAATGGAATTGTGGGTTTTGTATTAAATGTCCATTTAGTTAGAGGTGAATACTGAAGTATTATATATATTTATGGGCTTCCCAGGTGGCTCATTGGTAAAGAATCTGCTTGCCAATGCAGGAGATACGGGAGACATGAGTTCAATTCCTGGGTTGGGAAGATCCCCTACAGGAGGAAATGGCAACCCACTCTAGTATTCTTGCCTGAAAAATCCCATGGACAGAGGAGCCTGGTGGGTTACAGCCCATGAGGTCACAAGAGTCAGACAAGACTGAGTGACTGAGCAAAACACATATGTATTTACAGGTGAAATGACACAGTATATGAGATTTGGGTTAAAATCCTTCAGCAAGAAAAAAAAGAGTAGATGAAGTATGATAAAATCTTGATAATTTGGCACCTGAGTGATGGGTATATGAAAGTTGATTGTTATTATTCCTTGCAGTTTTGTGTTCATTTGAAAAGGTTTATAATAAAATAAAAACAATCACTAGAGAAGTGATTTCTCATGAGAACTGTGGTCATGATCAAAGTTTCTTTCCATAAGAAAAAAAGGTAGTAATGATAAAAACACAGGAAATTTAAATTAATTAAGCACAGAGAAAATACAGGAACAGTTAGGATAAGACTGAAGTTTTATCCTAAGAGTTTGCTGAAGACTGACTAAGGAAAATTTTAGATCAGATAAAATACAATAAGAGGAGAGGAAACCAACTTAAACACAGCATTATTATTACTAAGTCAATAGCAGTAATTTGAATTATGTATCTGGAGTGGAACAGAGGGAAAAAGTATGAGAAATACTTGACATGATGTGTGTGTGTGTGTGTGTGTGTGTGTGTGTGTGTGTGTTACTCACTTAGTCATGTCCAACTGTTTGTGATCCCAAGGACTGTAGCACTCCAGACTCCTCTGTCTATGGGATTTTTCCAGGCAAAAATACTGGAGTGGGTTGCCATTCCCTTCTCCAGGGTATCTTCCCGACCCAGGGATCAAACTCAGGTCTCCTACATTGCAAGCAGTTTCTTTACTGCTTGAGCTACCAGCGAAGCCCACTTGATGTGATATTCAACACCATTTCAACCAACAACCATACAGACATGTGAGGAGATTAAATAGAATAGTGATACTACAGAAAAGCACAGAGGAAGCTGATGATTGTATTCTTTCATCTCATTAAATAACCAGTCATTCTAAAAAACAGGTTCATAATTTTTTAAAATTTTGCTTCAAATTTGACCTCTTGGACTATTAAAAAAGTGTTTGGAGTTAAATATTTTTAAATAAAAATACAATAAGTTAAGTTCTATTTATATAGTGAAGACTTGGGATGATGTCTAAGTCAAAATAGAGAAGGCTAAGGGAAGGAAGGGCTTCCCTGGTGGCTCAGACGGTAATGAATCCACCTGCAATGCAGGAGATGTGGGTTCGATCCCTGGGTTGGGAAGATCTTCTGCAGGAAGGCATGGCAATCCACTCCAGTATTCTTGCCTGGAGAATCCCATGGACGGAGGAGCCTGGCGGGCTACAGTCCATGGGGTTGCAAAGAATCGGACACAACCGAGCAACTAAGCACAACACAAGGAAGGTAGAAAAAGAAAAAGGAAGGAAGTAAAATGTCTCAGACCTTTGGTCCTGGAAAGCCTGGTGGTCCAGAAGGACCTTCTAGACCAATTCTTCCAGGTGATCCAGGTGCTCCTGGAGGTCCTGGAATTCCAGGAAAACCTGTAAATTAGAAGTCATTTTCAATCCCCAAAGAGAAGATACTGTAAGAAAGATACCCAAACTCCTAAACACACATTTTACCCTATTATATCATGCTCAGTGACTACAGTAAGATGTTAAAAGCACAATGACATTCTAGATGATTATTTCAGACCAAGCCTTACAAATACCTGATATTCTCTCTCAATCACCTTGTGGCCCTATTATTTTCATACAGGGCTAATTAGCATTTGTGGCTAATGCTCTTCTAAAAGAGTATTAGAAAAGTATTCTAAAAGAAAGTAAAAGCTATTACCAATGAGATGGAAGAACTAAACTTAAGAAATGAATTCCACACAAAAATGCAGAGAAACTTTTATTCTGCTTATATCTGGATATAGTATGATAAAAGGCCTACCACATAATTCTGGAAATGAACTAAAAACAATGGCAGATGTTATACACATACATACACATAAAATCAAATCTGACTCTTTTGAAGTCATTTAGTATAAATGAGTAAGGACATGTTTAAGCACTGTTCTCAGATTAATACACATGCTTGCCATTTATGAGAAAAAGTTCTGCGAAGAATAAAGCAGAACTGAAGCAACAGCCCTAAAAGTTTCAGTGAATCATGAGAATGTGACTTAAGGATAAAACATTACTTGGATAAATGTGTGCAATAAATCTGTTTTCTGTTTAATACAATCCATTCATTTAACAAATATCTACTGAGTGCTTACTATGTGCCAAAAACACATAGTTTGAGTCCTTAAAATATAATGGTGAACACAAAAGACACTTATTACTGTGATTTTTAAAGTTTATATATCATTTTTGCATATCTAGGATTTAGATGTTTTATTGTCGGGAAAATTTTAGATAAAGACAACAAAACTATAGTGCACACATTCTGTGACTTTTCATTTAATACTTTTTATTACACAAAGGGTCTTCCCTAATGGCACAGCAGATAAAAGAATCTGCCTGCAATGCAGGAGACATGCATTTAATTCCTGGTTGGGAAGATCCCCTGAAGGAGGAAATGGCAACCCACTCCAGTATTCTTGCCTGAAAAATTCCATGGACACAGGAGCCTGGTGGGTTAAAGTCCAAACGGCAGTAAAGAGTCAGACATGACTGAGCACTGAGCGAACTACACATAGAAAAAGTTAAAACTAATATATTTTATTTATTGTGTGAACTATATCACAGAATAATATCACTTTGAGCAGTTAACCTACCTTGGCTGCTACCCAGTCCTACATACCTTTGGGACCAGGTGGTCCAGGAAGCCCGATTCCAGGGATACCTGGTTCTCCTTTGCTACCAGGTATTCCTGGCAAGCCTGGCTGGCCTGGGAGTCCAGGTTCACCTATGGAGAAACAGCAGTTTTTTTGGAAGTAGCCAAAGAAAGACGCCAACAAATATTGAGTACACGGTCAAATAAATTCCTCACATACCTGGAAGACCTACTTCACCATCTCTGCCTGGGTTACCAGGCAGGCCAGGCTTCCCTGGTTGGGTTATGGTCTGACCTGGATCACCTTTAGGACCTATGTGGGAATTAATAGTGAATAGGAAGTGTTCACTTGACTAAAGACCTCCATTAATTAAAACAAAAAAAATTTATACTCTTTTGAAAATGCAAACTAATAAAAATCCAAGAGAAAAACAATCATATATATTTTTAAGGATGATACTAAGCAGAAGAATGAAATTTCAAAGAGAAAAGTATATTACAGTTTTAAGAATTTTCATGAAGATAGCTTCTATAAAAATATTAGGCATCTATAAAAATATTTTCTAAATGCAGGTCAAAAGAAAAATATTTCTTTTTGGTTAACTACTGGTACTTTAAGGTTTTATGCATGCAAAGTCCAAGTACACATACTACTCATTAATTGAAATAAGACTTTGAAAAAGGTTGAGGATAAAGATGGATTTCTTAACCATGGCAATAAAAAGCACTAACCATGAGAGGAAAGACTGATAAATTTGGCTATGCTCAAATTGATTTCTGTTCATTAAAGACACCATAAAGAGAGTGAAAAGGGCAAGCCACAGTGAATGAAGATTTTGCAAAATAAATAGCTAAGAAAGAACTAATACACAGAATACATACACACACACTCCCCTCCAAATCAGGAAGAAAAACAATCCAAAAGAAAAAATGGTCAAAACACTTGAATAGACATGTCACAAGTGGAAAATTCAAATGGTCAACAAACATATGAAAATGTTAATGTTTGAACTTTATATTAATGGAATCATGGGGTAAGTATTCTTTATGTTAACTTTGTGTATGGATATTGCATATTCATTTTTATTCATTTATATATCAGAATAATATAAAATAAAACTGCCACCCTATACATCACACTCAACAGACTGGCAAAAGTGTAAAAGCGGCAATACAAAATGTTTTTGAAGATATAGAGCAACAATAAATATCTAATATTGCTGGTGGGAGTATGAATTGATACAACTGCTTTGGACATGGTTTGGAATTATCTAGTAAAACTGAAGATGTATTTATTCTATGCCTCAAAAATGCAAATCTTAAATATATACCCTAACCCAGTGACTGGCAATTGTTTTCTGTAAAGGACTAGACAGCATATACTTTAGGCTTTGTGGGCTATATGGTCTTTGTAGCAACAACTCAACTCTGCAGCAGTAGCGCAAAAGCAAGCATAACAATAGTGAATGGGTGCTAATCGGTTCAAATAAAACTTTGATTTATGACAACATGTGGAGGGCCAGATTTGACTTACGAACTGTAGTTTGTTGATCCTTGCCACAGAGCACAAGAATATATAAGAGAATGCACATAGAAGCATTATAATAACAGGCCCGAACTATAAATAATCCAATTGTCCATTAACAATAGAATGCATAAATCAATGGTCACACACACACACTGGAATACTGTATAGCAATAAAGCTGCTACATCCATATACAAAGTTAACGTAAAGAATACTTACCCCATGATTCCATTAACAGAAAGTTCAAAAAGAAGCATAAAGTACTTTATTTAGGAATATATATCTAGGTGATAAAACTATTTATGGAAGAAAATTATGCAAAAGTGAAGGCAGTGTTTACCTCTGGAGAAATGGAAGAAGATTTTGATCAGGAAAAGACAGAGAGAGGAGCATAGAGGTTTCCAGAATACTGGCAATGTATGTTTCTTGGCACATGTGGTAGTTATGTGTGTGTTTGTTTCTATTATAATTATTTGTTAAAATTTGCATTCTGTATCATGCACTTAAAAACAACAACAGTAACAATAAATACAGTCAGAGAAACTTTAAAGAGAAGGTCTTCTTAAATGCACTGGGAAGACCCAGAGGAATCCGGTGGAGAGGGAGGTGGGAGGGGGGATCGGGATGGGGAACACATGTAAATCCATGGCTGATTCATGTCAATGTATGACAAAAACCACTACAATATTGTAACGTAATTAGCCTGCAACTAATAAAAATAAATGAAAAAAAAAACATACACACACACGCACATACATATTTATGTTTCCTTGCTAAGGAGCTCTGGAAAGCCCAAATATAAATAGCCAGGGAAAAACGCCTCTCATGAAAGGAACCCAAAATGGTCAAAAGATAATGCATTTCTGCTTTTAAGCACCAAACTAAAAACAAAACAGCCATAGCAAACTCACCTGGTATTCCTGGTTGGCCTGGACTTCCTGCCACACCTTGTATGCCTTTTTCACCTACTGGACCTGGAGGGCCAAAACCAACAGGGCCCATAGGCCCCCTATTTCCTGGGAGACCTGGCAAACCTGGGTTCCCAGGGGGACCTCTTTCACCCTTAAAAGCCATTCCACCCTGAAAGGGAAAAATTTAATACAGAAATACATAGATATAACAGCTATCTGTAGGTTGGTATTACTTAGTACAGCTAGAGAAATGATATAGCCATAACAGTTCTTAAAAACTGAGTGTGTGTTACTATGGGATGGTATGTGTGATCACTCTATACATTCTTTCATTCAACAAATATTTTTTGAGTTCCTACTATGTGCCAGGAAATGGTGATAAAGCAAAGAATAAAAATAGACTAAAGTCTCTACGTTCATGAAGCTTACATTCTAGTGTTAAGTCAAGAAGTTTATAGGCTAGTTAATATTTTATAAAGTATCACTTTCTACCTAAATATCCTGTGCTGTATGTTGCACACAAAAGAAGACTTTACTCATTTACGTTCAATCTTTAGGCTCCATGGCACATTTAACACAGCCATCTACTCAACTAATCTCTAAGCTTACTGTATATAAACCAAATTAGACTTTTGTTGTCAGGTCTAGACAAAACCAGACAAGGCTATGTGGGATAAGAAAAGGGGAAACTTACACTGATCTATAGGCATCTTAACCTTCTGCCTATTTGGTCATAGCAAACTGTATTCAACATAATAGTGGGTTAAGCAGAAAGAATTAACAAAACCACTTAGAGAAAAGAATTATAAAGAAACTCTATATAGTCAATAACAATGTGCCATTAGTACATATAATCACATTCTTTTAAGCATTGATCAGATGTTCAACTAAGCACCAGGCCCATCCTAGAAAACATCACTAACAATTTGATACCACAAAATCAAGAATATCAAACCAACTCACAGGTTCTCCTTTGGGGCCAGGAAGTCCTGGCAATCCATCCTGTCCAGGGGTGCCAGGTAAACCAGGAAGCCCTGGAACTCCAGGGGAACCCAAATCTCCTTTGTCACCCTTCATTCCTGGAAGTGTGAGGATGTCACCGGGTTCACCTTTAGGTCCAGGAAAGCCTGGAGCTCCTGGAGCTCCTGGTATGCCCTGAGGGGTTAAAAAAGAAATAAAAGAGGAAAAAAAGAAGAGACAGAAGAAGAAAATCAGTTTCTTTTTTTCTAATACTTTCTCCAGTTTATCCAATCAACCTGCCCAATAACATTTAGTGTACAAAGCTATGAGTCAAATGAGACATATGAGCCAGCAAGAGTAAAAGAATCAAATAAATCATAATATAAAAACTAAATTTCCTTTATATATCTCCACAAGTGAAAACTCAAGGTGTAAATAGGTTTCTTCTATTTCTTTTGCTCTATAATATACTCAAAACTTACGGTTAATCCTTTGGGACCAGTTGCACCAGCGTGTCCTTTTTCACCCTTCTGTCCAGGGAAACCAAGAGATCCTAATACACACACACACACACACACACAGAGTCATATGAGCTTTGGGCTTGAAATCTTGATAAAGCTTATATAAACATCAGCAAGTCAGGAAGTCAAGTCTTAAAGTAAGAACATCAATCTCATTTGACAAGTCACATTTTCATTTCTCTATTTCATGTTCTCAAGATACAGAGATCATCCTTTCTTTTAGGTAAAGCTAACCTTTCATGGTATATACAACATTGTATCCTTAGGTATTTCCAATTCCAAAGTGTCCCAAAGCTTGCAGCTACCAAGTACTATGCATAGAAGTACTTGGCTTCTATAACCATCCCATTGTCAAAGGCAGAACAAGATAAGGACAAAGTGTGCATATTTTTCTCTGTTCTTACTTAAACAATTTTCCTAGATTCCTACCAGTTCTTTATTTGGTTTATCACTCCCTAAAATTAACTTTATGAAAAAGGATTGGTGCTCAAAGACTAGAGGAAATATTACTAAAGCAGCATTAAATGGGTCCCTGAAATAGATGCATTGGCACCACCTGGGTACTGGCTAGAAATGCTAATTCTTGGGCCCTCCATCTCAGGTCTACTGAATCAGAAATTGTGGGGGTGGGACCCAGGAATATGGATTTTAACAAGCCCTCCAAATAATTCTGATGCACTCCCAAGTTTGAAAGCCACTAGACCAGAAGTACAAGGCTAGATGATGAACTTCCAAGGGCAGCTATTAGATTTGCTGAAAATCTATTTCCAAGCACCAAATGAATTGGTTCATTAGGAAGATACATCAGACAGAAAGGTAAGAGATCTGGTGTTTATTCACAGCCCTGACTGACTCAGACATAAAGTGTGATTTCAAGAGAATATTGGGATACTCCAAGAGGCAGCTAAGTGAAAAAGTTGTGGGTCTGATGGATATCAAATACAGTTCTGCTTAGAAATGGGGAAGGAGGAGTTATATATAGAAAGAGGAAGACAATATGATACTGCTTATATGTGGAATCTAAAAAAAGGGTACAAATGAACTTATCTACAAAATAGAAGTAGAGTCACAGATGTAGAAAACAAATTTATGGCTACCTGGGAGTAAGTGGGAGATAACTGGGAGACTGGGATTGACACATACACACCACTATACATAAAATAGATAATTTATTAAAATAGGACCTTCTGCATAGCACAGGGAACTCTACTCAATACTTTGTAATGGCTTATATGGGAAATGAATCTAAAAAAGGGTATATGTATATGTGTCTGATTTACTTTGCACTGCAGAAATTAACACAACATTATAGACCAATGGTACTCCAATGAAAATTACAAAAACAGAGGAACAGGTTTTAATTTTTAACTTTTAAAAATTAAAATAAATAAAGAGGAATATTGGCAGTTGATTGCCAAAATCTAGTAAAAGCCCCGTTTCTCAATGACAACATGTGATACATCCCAATGACTAGAATCTGCCACTGGAAATGATATTCAGGAGTCAAGCATTATGAACATTTCCCCCAGTTTTCTGGAATTAAAAAGTCTGACTCTGTTTAAGTTATTTTCTTCACCATAAGGAAAATAAGGAAGATATTTCTCCTGGAATAATATTGTTGAAATGCTTTAATAGAAAATGTAGGTAGCTTCAGGTATAGAAAGCAAGAGCAAGCATAATTTATTTCATAGCAGATAGTGATATTTCATATTCAGTTACTTATGAATACGAATGACTAGCTATAAAATGAGAAACTGGCATCATTCTAATATCTAATATCTAGCCAGAAATATTTTAAAGGTTGCCCTGAGGCAGAATGTTTTACCTGGGGAACCTGGAAGACCTGGCAAACCAGGCTGACCTGGAGGCCCTGAAACACCAGTTCCAATACAGTTGAAGCAGGTGTCACCTTTGTCACCTAGAGAAAACAACAATAAAAAACAAATTTTACTTGAATGGTTACATATATCTTCTTTAGACAGGTTCTAAAGAACTTAGCAGGGATTCCCAGGGGGATCAGTGGTAAAGAATATCCTGGCCAATGCAGGACAAGCCAGTTCGATCCCTGGCTTGGTAAAATCCCTTGGAAGAGGAAACGGCAACCCACTCCAGTATTCTTGCCTGGAAAATCCCATGGACAGAGAAGCCTGGCGGGCTACAGTCCATGGGGTTGCAAAAAGTTGGACATGACTGAGTGACTGAGCACAAGGAAGTTAGCACTAAAGGACAATATTCCCACACAACAGTGTAGTTAGAGAAACTTATATTTAGAATCAATTCATTTGATATATATTTACTGAGCACCTACTATGTGCCAAGCACTATTCGAGGAGTCTATAATACATGATAAAAAAACAGACAAAATCCGTATGTTCATGGTGCTCACATTCAACCATTGGCTGAGTAAGTGAAACTGGATATGCTTAGGGATGGGTGGCAGATTGCAATTTTGAATAAGATAGTCAGAATAGAAACCATTGAGAAGATGACATATGATAAAAATAAAAACTTAAAGGACATGGCATGTGTGCAACAACTGTAGAGCAGTCCAGGCAGAAAGAATAGCCATGTCTAGCACACAGAAGGGATATCAAGAAGAGATTACTGCAATAGAGTGAGAAAGGGAAACCAGCTCAGACCATTAACAGGTTATAACAAGTGGTATATCATAAAATATCATATAGGCCACCATGAAGACTGTGGCTTTTACTGTGAGTAAAATAAGAATCTAGGAGAAGAAATTAAACAGAAAAGCAGCATGATAGGACAAGTTTTAAAAGGAGGACTCTGGTTGCTATGTTAAGAATGTGATCTAAGTACAAGGATGGAAACAGGTTAAGTATGTAAGTGGCTACTGCTGAAGTGATCTAGGAGAGATGGCAGCTCATTCCAGAGTGACAGCAATGAACAGGACACGAATTGGTTAGATTCTGGACATATCTGAAGATACAGCCAATGGGGTTTTCTCATGGATCACATATAGAATGCAAAAGAAGGGGGGAATCAAGGATGACTTAAATATACATCAAAGATCAAAATAAAAAAGGAAAACAATAAAGCTTTTAGAAGAAAACATAGAGGAATATCATCAGGTCCTTGGGGTAAGCAAAGATTTCTAAAATAGAACAGAAACAGCACTAATCATAAAAGAGGACGTTTATCATTTGATTTCTGTTAATTAACAACCTCTCTTCAAGTAAAGACATGAGTAAAAAATCAAGTCACAGAATGGGAGAATATATTTGTGATACATATATCCAACAACCCAATTAAATGCAGAAAAAAATAAGTACTCTACAAAGAGAATGCACAAACTATAAGAGGCTCAGCATCAATAATTGTGAGAGAAGTGGAAACTAAATTCTCTTTGTCAAATGGTTTGGTGATATCTATGGAATCAAAATCTATACCTATCCTATATCCCAGCAATTCTATCACTATGTTTACACAACAGGAATAAATGCTTATATCCTATAAAATATACATATATATATGTATATATACACACACATATGTATGTATGACATAATATATATATGAATGTTCATAGCAGCTTTATTCATAATAACCCCAGACCAAATGTACATTAACATTAGAACGGATATTTAGGAATATTTAATAGATATAATATTAAGCAAAACAAACCAGATAAAATATTAAGACATAAAAGGGCCTATGTGATTCCATTTCTACAAAGTTCAAGGCAAACTGATAGAGGACAAAACAGTGGTTACCTTTGCGAGTGCTGATTAGGATGCACAAGAGAGTCTTCTAGAATCCTGGTTAAGTTCTGTATTTTGATTTAGATAGCAGTTACATATGAGATGATAGATACACATATAGAGATATACATAGAGACATATAGAGGCAGAGTATATATAGGGAGAGACATATCTATATAGATACATATCTACTATATATGTGTGTGTGTGTGTGTAGATCAGTCGATAAAGAGTCTGCCTGCAATGCAGGAGACTTGGGTTCGATCCCTGGGTCAGGAATATCCCCTGGAGAAGGAAATGGTAATCCATGCCAGTGTTCTTGCCTGGAGAATCCCAAGGACAGAGGAGCCTGTTGGGCTACAGTTCGTGGGGTCACAAAGAGTTGGACACGACTGAGCAAATAACACTTTCACTTTCAACACTTTACACATAAAAGATAAAATCATCACAATGTCTTACGAGGTCCTGTATGATCTGCCACAGACTGTCCCCTTCCTCAAATTATATTACATCATATTCTACAGTTCTCCTCCCAGCCCTGCCATGCACCCTGACCTATGCTCACTCCATTCCAGTCACAATGGCTCTCTCTCACATATATGCCAGGGAGGAAGGAATAAAAACAGAGCATGGAATTTATTGAAAACCAAGTGAATAAACTGTTTAAAGAATGCAAAAATCAAGTAAAATAAGGACTGAGATAATATTTGAATTGGCAGTGAATAATCCCATGGACAGAGGAGCCTGGTGGGCTATAGCTCATATGGTTGCAAAGAGTTGGACAACATTGAAGCAACTTCACACACACAGGCTACTGGTGACTTTGACAAAAACTGCATCTATGGAGTGATGCGGGTGTGTGGGGGGGGGCGAGTCCTGACTGGAGTATGCTTAACAGAAGACGATGGGCTTTCCTGATAGTTCAGCTTATAAAGAATCCGCCTGCAATGCAGGAGACCCTAGTTCAATTCCTGGGTCAGGAAGATCCCCTGGAGAAGGGATAGGCTACCCACTCCAATATTCTTGGGCTTCCCTGGTGGCTCAGCTGGTAAGGAATCTGCCTGCAATGTGGGAGACCTGGGTTCAATCCCTGGGCTGAGAAGATCCCCTGGAGAAGGGAAAGGCTACCTTCTCCAGCATTCTTGCCTGGAGAATTCCAAGGACTATATAGTCCATGGGGTCACAAAGAGTCAGACACGACTGAGTGACTTTCATTTCACTAACAGAAAATGAGAGGAGAGGAGAGTTATCTAGAGACAGTGAGTAGAAAATTCTTGAAGAGTTTTGCCACAAATGAAAGAATAGGAGTAGAGTAGTATCTAGCAGCTGAAGTGAGGTTATGCTAAGATATTTTTTAGATGGGTAAACAAATGCATATTTATATACTGCTAGGAATGATCCTGGAGAAGGCAATGGTAACCCACTCCAGTACTCTTGCTTGGAAAAATCCCATGGACAGAGGAGCCTGGTGGGCTGCAGTCCATGGGGTCGCAAAGAGTCGGAGATGACTGAGCAACTTCACTTTCACTTTTCACTTTCATGCATTGGAGGAGGAAATGGCAATCTACTCCAGTATTCTTGCCTGGAGAATCCCAGGGACGGGGGAGCCTGGTGGGCTGCCATCTATGGGGTCGCACAGAGTCAGACACGACTGAAGCGACTTAGCAGCAGCAGCAGCAGGAATGATCCAGTGAAAGGGAAAAATTGATGATATGGGAGAGACAAGAATTTCTCAAATGACTCTTTGAGGGAAACAAGAGGAAATGGAATCTATTGTACAAAGAAGAACTGTTTTAGATAGAAGCAGTAACGATCAGCAGGAGGCAAAATAAATGTGGTAGTGGTGGCAATTTGTGAAAGTTCTCTTGTTATTGCTTCAACTGGTCTGTGGAGGAGGAAGCAAAGTCAGAATCCTAAAATAAGAATAGAAAAGAATGTGTTAGAAGTTTGAAAAGAGAAAACCAGGTGCAGGCTCAGAAGAGGTGGTAATTTGGAATTTGTTGTTGTTCAGTCACTCAGTCGTGCCCGACCCTTAGCAACCCCATGGACTGCAGCACGCCAGGCTTTCCTGTCCTTCACTATTTCCCAGAATTATTGAATTACCAGGGCTATGTTTTGGTTCCAATGGCAGGAGAGGAGGGCAAAGAAGTAAAAAGTTTATGCATGGGATTGACTACAATGATTGATCATGGAATTTAAGCTGGGTTAAGAGATAAGAGACTTCAAAAAACTGAGGGATAATAAAGGTTGGCAGGTTTCACTGAGTTTGAAGTAATGTTATTAGTCAGGTTATTAGAGGTAGTGAGCTAGAAAGATAGGATATAGTGGTCAGGAAATCAAAATTTGGAAGTGTTCACTATTGGTAATGTATGGTCTTGGGGTCTGACCATGGGAGTGAGTGGCTGAGGAAGGGTGGAGGATATAGGGTATTTTGCTGATGACTTGAAAGAATGAAGGAATATGTGGTTCAAACCTTTCATTCCTTGTTCTCCTTGGAGTCCTCTATCACCTGGAGATCCTGGAGGGCCAGGAGGGCCTGCTTCACATATCTTATCACCTGAGATAAGATAAAGCAATAATAGCAAGCCAATTGTAAAATATCCAGAAGACTCAACAAAAAGAAAGTCTGATAGGCTAGAAAAAAAAAGATTTATTTTCAGTTGTTTCTATAATATTAATGATAATTTGAAGAACAAATTTAAATATCAAACAATCACCATAAATCAAAAGCAGAGGCAGCAGAAGACTCTCTTAGTTATCAGAAATACAAGAATGATGCAAAACCATCAGATTCACTTATAAATGAAGATAAAACAAATACAACAACAGAACTTAATAGGAGAAAAGTATATAGCTTACTAGGAGGGATGTGAGGGCCGGGAGGGCCAGGGGGGCCAGGAGGGCCAGGAGCCCCAGGCTGTCCATCAAGTCCAGGAGATCCAGGAATGGAAATTCCAGGTGGACCTTCGTCACCTTTCTGTCCCCTTTCCCCAGGAAAGCCAGGGGGTCCAGGAGGACCTATAACTGCAGGTCCTAAGATAAAAACAAATACCCATTAAAGTGATCAAAATGATCTTATTTTAGACATATTACTTTGGGTCTCAATGAGACCTTAACTAATGATAAGATCTTCCTTTAATGTATAATATCAGTTATGGTCTTACTTTTTTATGTATAATACCAGCTATGTTCTTATTTTTTTCTATGAGAATCAACATGTAGAGAAAAGATGGAAAGTCCCAATAATGTAAGTACCCGTTTGAATATAAGAAAGAATAAAGTAGTTTTGTACCTTTGGAGGGCTTCCCTGGTGGCTCAAGTGGTAAAAAAAAAAAAAAATCTGCCCGCAATGTGGGAGACCCAGGTTTGATCCCTGGGTCGGGAAGATCTCCCAGAGAAGGAAATGGCAACCTACTCCAGTATTCTTGCCTGGAGAATCCGATGAACAGAGGAGCCTGGAGGGCCTCAGTCCATGGGGTTGCAAAGAGCTGGACAGGACTGAGCAACTAACACTCACATTACTTTTGGAAACGTACTAGTAACTAACTCTGTACACTTTGACACTATGATCTCTTAATCTCTGAAATACTAGAAAGCCACTGACAGGAGAAGAGGCATCTCAAAGTTCTCAGGTAAACATGGCTCTGTTTCTGGACATTCTTCTGTTCTACTGTCCTTTCCTGCACTACTAACACATTTTTTCATTACTGCAGCTTTATAATATTTTCAAATCTGGCAAGGAAAATATACTCATCTTTGTTCTTTTGAAAACCATCTTCACTACACTTACAAATTTATTCTTCTAAATAAATTTCAGAACGAGCTTATCAGTTACATTTTAAAAAAATCACTGGAATTTTGAATGAGATTTTTATTCAATTCTAACTCAATTAAAATGAATTTTAATTTGGATTTAAAGATTAAATTTTGGTAGAATCACCTGTATATAATACTGAATTCCCACATCAAGTAATAATTATATATATTTTTCCATTTATTTATTAATTTTATATTATTTAATAATATTTTACAAAGTTATGCAAAGAGATCTTATACATCTTTTGTTAGGTTTATTCATGGGTAAATTTGATTGCTAATGTGAATTTTATTGTTGTTACTATTGTTAACTGAATTTTTCCCCTCTTATATGTGTAATTATTTTCTTGCTGGCTTAAAGCAAATTACTTAAATTTGCAGCTCATATCTCATATTTGGCTACCTTGCAAACATTAAGTTCTGATAATTCATCATTTGATTCTTTTAGGTTCTCTGAATAGATAATCACATGGCTTGTGAATAACCAAAATGTGGGGTTTTTTTGTTTTTTGTTTTCCATCCATATACCTCTGTTTTTCTTCCAGACTTAGTGCACTGGCTGGGATCTTTAGTACAAGAACAAATAGCATTGGTGACCCTGGTGACCATTGGTGACCATCTTTATCTTATTCTTGACTTGAATGGGAATACTCCTGATGTTTCACCACAGAGTATATTTCCTGCACAGTCCTGTACTTCCTGTATGAAGTAGACTGCTTCATCAAATTGAGATAGTTCCCTTCCAATCTTAGTTTAAGAATTTTTTTTCCTTTTAAAAATAAATAGGTATTAAATTTTGACTGTTTTCTTTTTATCTATTGGCCTATTCCTTTTTAATATGTCAATGTAGTCAATTAAAGTAATGTTGAACCATTCTTGTAATCTTAGGGTAAATACTATTCAGTCACAAATATATTATTTAATATACTTCTGAATTGATAATATTTAAGATTGTTACTCCTACATTCATAAATAATATTGAACTATAGTTACTTCCAGTGTATCTCCTTGGTGGTTTGGTATCAACTGTTAAACTGAATTTCCTTTTAAAAAGAATGTTCTGAAACAGTTTTTAAACTATGAGAATTGCCTGCTCAAGAACTTGGTAAAATTCATTTATAAAACTCTATAAACCCACCTGCAAAACCAATACTTTTTCAGGGAGACCTTTAACTTTTCAAAATCTTCTACAGCAATTGATCTACTTAGGTGTCCTACTTTCTCAGGAAAATTTTTATTAAATCATGTTTTCTGTTTCATGAAGAATATATATTTCATCTAGAATTTCAAAAATATTGACAATTTTATAGTTTTCTTATAATTCAAGAATTTTAATTGTATTTTATGGTATCTTTTTTCCTTTACTGATTTGAGTCTTTTCCTGCCTTTATCTTGATCTTACTTTATTTTGACCTTTATCAAGTTTTCCATCTATTTTGTTTATGCTTCTATTTTAAAGTTTTTATTGGCATATAGTTGACTTACAATGTTGTGTTAGTTTCTGGTAAACAGCAAAGTAAATCAGTTATACATAAACATATATTCACTCTTTTTTAGCTTCTTTTTCCATATGAGTAGAGTTCCCTGTGCTATACAGTAGGTTGTTACTAGTTATCTGTTTTTATACGTGTGTGTGTGTGTGCACATGCATGCATGCATGTGCTACGTCGCCTGCCAGGTTTCTCTGTCCATATATAGTAGTGTGCATATGTCAATCCCAATCTTCCAATCCCCCCACCCCATATCCATAAGTTTGCTTTCTACATCTGCACTTCTATTTCTGTTTTGTAGATAAGTTCATTTGTACCTTTATTTTTTTTTTTAGATTCCACAATAAGCAGTATCACATGATATCTTTCTCTGTCTGACTTCACTTAGTATGACAATATCTAGGTCCATCCATGTTGCTACAAATAGCATGTGCTTGTTTTATTTCTTACTATTTTTACAACTTAGCTCATTTAAGTTTAGGATCTCTAATTTTGTGATCAATTAAGTGTAAGACTTTTGGCTATATCTAATGAATTTTGATATGAAATTGTTTAGCATTTAGTAGTTCATCATCTCCATTTCTGTATCCTCTTTACCTATAGAGCTATTTACAAATGTGCACTTTAATATGAAAATATTTGATGGTTTTTGTTGTTAATTTCTAACTTCATTTTACTGTGGTCACAGAGTATGGCCTGCATATACTTTTTTTTAAATTTATTTTTTATTGAAGGATAATTGCTTTACAGAATTTTGCTGTTTTCTGTCAAACCTCAACATGAATCAGCCATAGGTATACATATATCACCTCTCTGTTGAAACTCCCTCTCATCTCCCTCCCTGTCCCACCCCTCTAGGTTGATTCAGAGCCCCTGTTTGAGTGTCCTGAGCCATACAGCAAATTCCCATTGGCTATCTATTTTACATATAGTAATGTAAGTTTCCATGTTACTCTTTCCATACATCTCACCCTCTCCTCCCCTCTCCCCATGTCTGTAAGTCTATTCTCTATGTCTGTTTCTCCATTGCTGCCCTGTAAATAAATTCTTCAGTACCATTTTTCTAGATTCCATATATGTGTGTTAGGTATTCATCTTTCTCTTTCTGACTCACTTCACTCTGTATAGTAGGTTCTAGGTTCATCTACCTCATTAGAACTGACTCAAATGCATTCCTTTTTATGGCTGAGTAATATTCCATTGTGTATATATATCACAACTTCTTTACCCATTCACCTGTCGATGGACATCTAGGTTGCCTCCAATGTTCTAGCTATTGTAAATAGTGCTGCAATGAACAATGGGATACATGTGTCTCTTTCAATTTGGGTTTCCTCAGGATATATGCCCAGGAGTGGAATTTCTGGGTCATTTGGTGCTTTTATTCCTAGTTTTTTAAGGAACCTCCATAATGCCTTCCATAGTGGTTGTATCAATTTACATTCCCACCAACAGTGCAAGAGGGTTCCCTTTTCTCCACACCCTCTCCAGCATTTATTGTTTGTAGACTTTTTGATGAGGGTCATTCTGACCGGTGTGAAGTTATATCTCATTGTAGTTTTGATTTGCATTTCTCTAATAATGAGTGATGTTGAGCACCTTTTCATGTGTTTGTTAGCCATCTGTATGTCTTCTTTGGAGAAATGTCTGTTTAGGTCTTTTCCCCACTTTTAGATTGGGTTGTTTGTTTTTCTGGTATTGAGTTGTATGAGCTGCTTGTACATTTTGGAAATCAATCCTCTGTCAGTTGTTTCATTTGCTATTATTTTCTCCCATTCTGAGGGTTTTCTTTTCACCTTGCTTATAGTTTCCTTTACTGTGCAAAAGCTTTTAAGTTTAATCAGGTCCCACTTGTTTACTTTTGTTTTTATTTCCATTACTCTAGGAGGTGGGTCATAGAGGATCTTGCTTTGATTTATGTCATCGAGTGTTCTGCCTATGTTTTCCTCTGAGTTTTATAGTTTCTGGTCTTACATTTAGGTCTTTAATCCATGTTGAGTTTATCTTTGTGCATGGTATTAGGAAGTGTTCTAATTTCATTCTTTCACATGTAGCTGTCCAGTTTTCCCAACACCATTTATTGAAGAAGCTGTCTTTGACCCATTGTATACTCTTGCCTCCTTTGTCAAAAATAAGGTACCCACAGGTGGGTGGGCTTATTTCTGGGCTTTCTATTTTTCCCTTGGTCTATATTTCTGTTTTTGTGCCAGTACCATACTGTCTTGATGACTGTAGCTTTGTGCGCATGCTATGTTGTGTGCTAAGTCACTTCAGTCATGTCCGACTCTTTGTGACCCCATGGACTGTAGCCCACCAGGCTCCTCTGTCCATGGGATTCTCCAGGCAAGAATACTGGAGTGGGCTGCCATTTCCTACTCCAGGGGAGGAAATGCTACCAAAAAGCAAGCTGGTTTAGCAATTCTAATACAGCATGAAATAGAATTAAATGCAAAAATGCATTAAAACCAGATATTTCATATGGCTAAATAGACAGATTATACCATAATGATATAAAAGTCATGAAACTTACTCATCTAATATAACTTGAAGTCAGGAGGCTTGATTCCTCCAGCTCCATTCTTCTTTCTCAAGACTGCTTTGGCTATTTGTGGTCTTTTGTGTTTCCATATGAATTGTGAAATTTTTTGTTCTAATTCTGTGAAAAATGCCATTGGTAATTTGGTAGGGATCGCATTTGGTACTGTAGTCATTTTCACAATATTGATTCTTCCTACCCAGGAACATGAAATATCCCTCCATCTGTATATGTCATCTTTGATTTCTTTCATTAGTGTCTTATAATTTTCTGTGTACAGTTTTTCCATCTCCTTAGGTAAGTTTATTCCTAGATATTTAATTCTTTTTGTTGCAATGGTGAATGGGATTGATTCCTTAATTGCTCTTTCTGATTTTTCATTGTTAGTATATAGAAATGCAAGTGATTTCTGTGTATTGATTTTGTATTCTGCAACTTTGCTAAATTCACTGATTAGCTCTAGCAATTTTCTGACACTATCTTTAGTATTTTCTATGTACAGTATCCTGAATATACTTTTAAAAGATTTTTTATGGTCTAATAAGAGTCTATTTCTTGACTACACAATTTCAAAGCTATACTACACAAATGCTTCATGTATGTTTGAAATGAATGTACATTCTCTGCTGCACAAAATTTTTCTCTCTCTCAAAAATACAGCTTAATTGTGTTACTCAAATCATTTATATTCATATTTATATTTCGCTTCCTTGATATACTGGGGAATTTCCAATTTATCCCTTGTAGTTTATCAGTTTTCACTTTACATATTCAAAGCTATAATTTTAAATGAGTAACTTTCATGACTTTTATACCACTGTGGTATAATTTGTCTATTTATCCATATGAAATATCTGTTTGTAATGCATTTTTGCATTTAATTCTATTTCATACTATATTAGAATTGCTAAACCAGCTTTCTTTTTGGTAGCATTTGCTTAACATTTTCTCATTGCTTAATTTTCATATTTTCTACATTCTTTTACTTTAGATATGTCTACTGTGCACAGCATATAGATTTTGTTCCAATTTTATTTTAGCTTTTGTTTATTAATCAGTGTTTAGTCCTTTTACATTTATTGAAGTTACTGATTTGTTTTTAACTTCTTCTTGTCAGTTTATGTTTTTCTATTTATTCAGGTTTATCTGTGTTTGTTTTGTCCCAAACCTTACTTGTATTACATAGGTCAAGATTTTGGTCATCTTCTTTCTTCAACAAGTAAGTAATATATATTATTTTAATTCTTTACTATTAAAATATTTAACCTAGGGACTAAAATCTGTATTTTTTGAAAAACTTATATAGTTAATAGTATTTATATTCTCTCCCTCTAACAAGACAATAAACCATATAATTCACTTCCCCATTCTCTCTGTACCTCTACATTCTATGTTAGTAGTATGTACAATTATACTTCCATATTGTTACTTAAAATATTTATGTTATTTTTTATGATCAATATTTATTTAGACTTAAAATACTTTATTAATATCTTTCTTAACCATTGTTTCATCTGTGTTAGCCACCCCCACTCCCAACTTCATCCTGAATTCATTTCCTCCTTCTTGGAGTAAAAGCTCCAGTAACTATTTCAGAGATCTGGAGGTCCTCATATTCACCCTAGGGTGACAGTTTGATGTAATATAGGATCTCAAATTCGTAGTTCTTTTTCCTTATTACTTTGAAAATGTGCCCCATTATCTTCATCTGACTCTCACTGCTTTGTAAGTGATCTGCTTTGGGTCTCAGACAGTTTTTAAGAACTTCTTTTTATCCTTAAATTCTAAAATGTCCTTACAGTGTGTTTAGGTATGTATTTTGTATTAATTTTGTATTATTATTATTACTTTTGCTTTGTAATTCATAAGCTTTTTTACAGGGAAATATGCCTTTTTTAAATAGCTAGAAGTTTTAACCATTAATTTTTCAAATATGCTTCTTGTCCTATTCTCTCTTTGAACTCCTTCATGTTGGATTTTGGGACATCTAGGTTTATCCTCTGTGTGTCTTATATTTTATTTCATATTATCTAACACTTTAAATTTTTTGCTATATCCTTGGAGAATTCCTTATCTGAAGTTTCCATACACAGTATGTCTTTGGTCCACTATCTTGAAGATAGAAATCCAAAGGGGATAGAAAGCAAAAGGGGACCCACAAGTTATTCTCTTTCTTCTTGGCAGAAACACTGAGCATCACTCATCTCATCATGTTAACATTTTATTAGGCAAATATTTTTGATAGAAAAGTAACCATAATTTATTAAATACCTATGTGTGACAGATACTGTACAAGATTTTTTTTTTCAAATTTTACATGAGAGGTATACTATCACTTCATTTCAGAGAACATCCAAATAAACATGCTAAACAAGGGCACTGCTCAATTAGCGGCCAAATTAGAAGTGCTCTACTCTACTCTGTATCTTCAATAAGGAAGTGATATAAAATTAGTACTGAGCTCCAAGGTTTTACTGCATAGCAAAATCACCATGGGGATTTCTAGGTAGATGTTTGTGGAATTCTAAGTGGATAGTGCTCTTTACTACATAAAAATACAGTAAATCTTACCTAACTAGGCATCATTAGCACAATGTTTCCTACCATAACAGCATGAAAGGTATAATGATTAATATTTGGGTCACAGTAATGTTTGGTGTAATTTATTAATAACAAAAGAAAGAAATGGTATTTTTACGGTAAGATGACACTATTAAAGTAATTCTGATTTTTTTTAAAGTATACATGAGGAACCTGGAAAGATTATAGTAAGAGCTGAGGAGTTCCTGTCAATGGACAGGAGGCCTGGCGTTCTGTGATTCATGGGGTCGCAAAGAGTCGGACACGACTGAGTGACTGAACTGAACTGAATATATTATTAAATGATAATATACTTCCAAAAAAAATACTTATGTGTTCTAGTGCCATGCTCACCCTGGAACTAGTATGATAATACTGTATACATGGATTAGTAAAGATACTATAAACATAAGGGTATTAAGTACAGTACAGTCTCATTTACCTGGAGGTCCAGGAAGGCCTGGTGGACCCTGAATTCCAGGAAATCCTCGATCTCCTTTATCTCCAGGCAAGCCAGGTAACCCAATGTTTCCTTTTTCTCCTACAGTTACACCAGTCCCAGGCCTAGGTATTACCTTTATTATGAAAGAAAAAAATAAAGGAATTCAAAGAGGAAGAGACTTGTTTTTCTGAAAATAACCTGGTAGGTCCATATGATTACAATGCATCATTTTCACAAAGTGTTCAGATGCAAAATTATTAAGATTACCTTACATAGATTGTGAGCAGCATGCTTCAACAGATTAGAAAATGTTCAATGTCAGTATCAATATTACCATCCACTTTAGCCCCAGGCTTACAGAGTTAGAATTATGTTTGATGTCTTCTTATCATTCAAATTCAATTCATTCCAATCACCTAAGCCTGATAATTCTTTGTTAAATAAGTCTCTCCAATTTGTTCCCTTCTTTCCTGTGACAGCGTCTATTCTTACCTCATACTTAGACTAACAGAAACAACTCTGAGCTTTTCCCTTTAAATTCAAATCTATTACTAGGATACACTTCCTCAAAAAACAATTTTTTTGTGTTACGTTTCCTGTTAGAGCACTCATAATTGCTCATTACTTCTTATTATATATTATGTTACTTTATAGCTTGGACTCTAAACATACTTCTCACTCCCAATACCTCTCTCATCTGTTTCATGTCCTGTTAGTTGTAGCAATGACTTTTTAGGAGAGTGAAGTCTGATTGTAACCACTTCATGCATCTTGCACATTCCTGCTTTTTCCTTTAAATATGCCATTCTAAATATCTATAATGCCTTCCCATAATCTTTCTCTTTGTCAACTCATATTTCTTTCTTCTTAAAAAGAAAAAGAAAAGTCATTCTTCCAGGAGGGCTTTATTAATTAAAATTAACTAGCCCTTTTTATCTTCTTAGAACCTCATGCCTAAAGAATTTTATATTAAATAATCTAATATAAAGAGGTTAACTTCATAGAGTTATAAAGGTAAAGTAAGCTTTAGATTTAAGCAACTATCAGTCTGAGATAGAAATTATCACCTACTGGCAATATTCATCCTGGCTCTTTTGGATATAAGAAATATTCAGACAAATGGACATTTGTGGGACCTAGAATTTGGATGGTAGTTCATAGGGGAGCTATTGAACAGGATACACTCTCAAAATTTCCATTTCTTCTGATGCTCATCAAAATTTTATCATCTCATTTTTTAGAAAAATTATTTGTTAGAAAAGTAAAATTCTGATTTGAAAATGAAAGCAAATAAAAATTGTCTTAAGATCTTCTTTAAATATAATACATTCTCATCATTGGATTTGGTAAAGTACCAAGTATCAATATCTGAGACTCACTATGGACAAAAATAATTAAATAAACATTATTCAAATGTCTTATCATATAGGGTTTATGGCACTTGCCCCTTTGCAACTTTAGTGAAGTCTAAAGCCAGGAGTCTTAGAAAATTTCAATGAAAGGAAAATCAATATGTCAACTGCAACAGAGATAGTTTATTTTTAATAATGAAAACATACATGACTGGGATTTCATGATGAATACAGATATGACAGAAAAGTTGTAAACCCCTTAAGTATTCTTTTATAGGGCAGTTTCCTACATTTGTTATGAAGAACCCCTAGAAAGCACACACTCTGGGAAGAAAGAGGTGTGAATCAGACAATTACAAATTGAGAAAATCTATTAAGACCAAATCCATCTTTCTTCTGAGCCCTGCAGGGGAAAGGACCAATCCCTAGCTCCCCAAGTTTCTTTTTTGAACCTTTGTAAGCAACACTTGCACCACCTGCTGGTTACTTGAGAAATGATTTGGCAATCATGCAAAAAAACCTAATACCATAATTTTGGAGCTTTATTATGGAGAAATAATACACAGGCAGACCAATACAAACACTTTGAGGTCAACCTCACTGAAGTTCTATATGTAAAGACTTTTAAGACAGGAGAAGTTGATAAAGACTTGGAATTTTGGGTTCTATGAGGAAAATGTATGGAGTATATAATTAAGATGTAAAATTTAAAATGCAGTAATAAATTTAATAAATAAAAACTGAAAGAAAAAAAACTTACAAGTCCAGGAGGCCCAGGTGGGCCAGTGTCACCTTTTTGACCCTATTCAATACAATTATACAATAGATTAGTAAAAATCACATGAAAACATCAATTTCCTCAAAAATATAATTGATAATTAAGATTCATAAAGACCTAGAAATCCATAATAAAAAATCTCAAAGAGAAATACAAAATGAGTTAATAAAACACTACTTTGCTAAGCTTAGGGAAACCTGTGCTGTTATGTCAGATTTACAAGCTATATGATGCTGACCAAATCAATTAACTTCTTTGCCTTATATATAGACCAGACTTCTAAGGTATTTCTAGCTGTAACATAGAGAAGACACTGAATTAAAAAATTGGTATTTCCAGAGCGAAGTAAGCCAGAAAGATAAAGACCATTACAGTATACTAACACATATATATGGAATTTAGAAAGATGGTAACGATAACCCTATATGCAAAACAGAAAAAGAGACTCAAATGTATAGAACAGACTTGTGGACTCTGGGAGAAGGCGAGGGTGGGATGTTTCAAGAGAACAGCATCGAAACATGTATATTATCTAGGGTGAAAGAGATCACCAGCCCAAGTTGGGTGCATGAGACGTGCTCGGGCCTGGTGCACTGGGAAGACCCAGAAGGATCGGGTGGAGAGGGAGGTGGGAGGGGGGACCGGGATGGGGAATACATGTAAATCCATGGCTAATTCATTTCAATGTATGACAAAAACCACTGCAATGATGTAAAGTAATTAGCCTTCAACTAATAAAAATAAATGGAAAAAAAAAACGGTATTTCTAGAATCAGCTAAAATCTTTACCCCTTTCTTACATTTAGCCATGTCTTTTTCAAAAAACTTGTCAGGGGCATAAATTTAGTGTCATTTCCATTAGTGACAGATATTTTAAGCCTGATGAAGTTAACTATCACCAGGAACAGCTAATAAATCATAAATGGTTTGTGACTTTGCTCTTAGAATCTACTGAAAGACAAATTCAGACAAAACTGTTACCCGTAACCAGTAGCTACAACAGGTGAAGATCACAGTATTCCACTGCTATCCCACTGGCCACAACCCAAGAATAGGCAGACCTCTCACACCTCCACTTTCATTCGAGACTTATTCATAGAAACCTTTCATCTATCTATAAGCTTCTTTTAGTTCAAGGAGATACTCTGTCCTATAACTTCACATACAAATAGAAAAACAAAAGTTTATTCTTTGAGTATTTATTATCTTCCTTTATTCTAGTTGTGCCTCTTAAACCAGTCTAGAACTTGGATCTAGTTTAGAGATAAAATCACCATTAAAACATGTACCCTCTGGGTACATTCAAGTTTCTAACATGTTCCCGTCCCTGCAAAACAAAGCTTTTCATAGAAAGCAATTAAAAACCAGAGAGATTGGAAAAATGGATGTTTTGTGATCTGCTATAAATATGGGAATTGTGGGCTTCATACATTTTTTTCAAAGTCACTTTTTAAATAGGGAACTAAACAAATGACCTCAGTCAGGCTGCATGGCCAAATGAAAAAACAACAGCCAACAACAACAAAAAACAACAAGCAATTAGTCACGAGCTTCCAGAGAATCTCATTGCCTAGAGAACGGATATGTTTAGTGGCAACATTCTAAATTCACAGCTATAAACCTTTTTTAGTATGAGGACCTTACTAAAATAGTGCTGAATCCTCTTTCTGGAGAACAGTTTTGCCGATACATGCTCAAAGTAAAGGCATCAGCTTTTAACAATGGAAATGCTAAAGTTAAACAATTCTCCATGTATTTCTATCACATGGACTGTGATTTAGGATAGTGAATGAAAATTTAAGGAATTGGTATAAGAGAAAAGGGAATAACATCAAAAGATGGATAAAGAAGGTATAGTTTGAATACAAAAGCTAGTTACTTAGAATTTTTTCATTCATAACTGGGATGAAAAGTATTGTGCTAACCAGAATAAAAGCAGTTCCCTCGACGTTTTAAAATTCTTACCTTTTCTCCATCTCTTCCTGGTTCACCAGGGTAACCAGGATCACCAGGCAAACCCTTTAAAAACACAGAAGACAGTGACATCAGCAAAAATGGTGGAATAAGAACCTCCAAAATTCCTCTCCTCCATAAAAGCACCAAGGAAATTGACAAAAATGGTCAATCTTTTTAGAACTCTAGAAATTAAGCAAGGGTTTGCAGCAATCCAGGAAATGTATTTTTGGGGGGAAAAAGAGACTAAATCTTGGTAAGAACAAAGTGGTTTGTGGCTCTATTCCCATCACCCTTCCTCAGTTCCACAGCAGCCTTGAAAACCAACAGCTCACAATCAAGGTAAAGACCAGCAGCATAGCAGCAACTGGAAGGAAAAGAACCAGGCTGAAGCTTCTTCAAAGCCCCATCCCCACAGAATTGTCATTTCTGGTGGTTCCCAGAATATCCCATTACTTGACCTAATTTTACTTCTCCCAGTGCAAACAGAGAAAAGCCTTTTCCGTAGGGATATCTGTCAAAAACACAGGCAATATTGAACATCATGATTGCATAAATCATTGTTTCAAAAGAAGACAGGAACTGAGGTCCTGAATTGGAATCCCCCACTCTGGAGAAGAGAAAGGCTACCCGCTCCAGTATTCTGGCCCAGAGAATTCCATGGACAGTATAGTCCATGGGGTTGCAAAGAGTTGGACACAACTGAGCGACTTTCACTTTGACTTATGCCAGTTTATATATCTAAGCCATTGGTGAAGCTACAGTTTGTAAGTTGAGGACTGCCTGTTTAGCAAAATTATTTAGAAATCAATTTATCTGATTCTATTGAATATTTACAACTTCCAGTCTTATTAAGAATGCTCCCTTTCCTGCAGAGTAGTCTCCAAATTTCATCAAATTTTCTATCTGTCCTTGAAAACATCTTTTAACATCTATGGTGGATACTCCTGATACTAAGGCTGCCTGAAATAATGTTCCTGGACTTCCATATTTTTACTTGCCTCTTTTTTGGTAATAATTAGAATTATATGTCAAAACTTTAACTGGAAAAAGAAAACTTATGTTCACACAAAACAGTGTATGTGAAGGTTTTTAGCAGTTTATTCATGATAGTCAAAACCAGAAACAACCAAAATACCCTTCAATGAGTAAATGCATAAACCTTGGTACTGCATATAGTCATATACTGGTCAGGAATTAAAAGTGAATGAACTACTGATATACAATACAGTGTGTTATACTATGTGAAAGAATTCTGATTCAAACAGCTGTATATGCTATGACTCCACATTTTTATGACACTCTGGAGTCAGCAACATTACAGAGATGGAGAACAGATCAGTTGCTTCAATGGATACTGGATGAGGGGAGGGGAGGGGAGGGAATAACTATGAAAGATCATGAGAGAACTTTTGAGAGAGATGGAACTGTTTTTTATTATGGAGATTGTTACACAACTTACGTGTTTGTCAAAACACACAGAACTGTGCACCAAAATGGTTCATTTTACTTTATACAAATTATATCTCAATAAATCTGACTTAAAAATCTGTCTTGAAAAACAGAAAAATTTCAAACTCATATTTAAAAGAGATGGAAAGGATAATTTCAATTCATTTAAACTATTTTCAAACCCAAGCCTCTTTGCCATCCTGCTTCTTTACCAACATGTACAAATGTTGCCATTTGGAGGGGAGGGTGGATTTTAAATACTCACTGGAATTCCTGGTTGGCCATTCTCTCCATCTTTGCCTGGTTTACCCTATTTAGGATTCAAGGAAATGTAATAATATAAATTTGTTATTTAAAAATATAAGGTCAAAGGATATAACAAGCTTTCTTCCAGCCTGGGACTCTCTTCAGTAGACTTTCTGGACTTTAATGTTATAATAAATAAATAAATATGTCATTCATGCCATTTTGAGGGAATGAAGGCAGGAAGAGGAAAAAATAAAATTATACACATGCACAGTGCATGAGTATGTGCGCAAAGACATGCTTAAAATTTTTTGCAAAGAATATTAGAAGCCATAACACTTACTCTTTTGCCAGGCTCTCCTTGCTCACCCTTCTCACCTTTCACACCACCTGGAGGACCCTATATACACAAGAGTAATTTTACATTGGTTCATGGAGTACTATGTGAGATTATCGATTTACATTAAATGATGCTAAAGAATTTTAGGTTACTTACTGGAGGACCACGTATCCCTGGGAGTCCAGGAGGCCCTCGGTCACCAGGAAGTCCCTATGCAGTGGTAGGGAAAAGGAAAGCAATATTAAAACTATTAGTACTGTTAGGAACAATTTTAACTAGCTGAACTACAGACTCATGTACTATAACCCAAGATATTTCAAATTCAAAGTTGAAATCTACTAGGCAAAAAAAAAATCTAGAGCCATCTTTGCCTATTTCAGTTAATTTTTAGTGTATGTACAAGCCAAGTTTTGAGGTAAAGAGCAAGAAAGCACTTCAAATTAAAGTATTAATGATTTTTATTCTTATAAAATATTTTGTAATAATATAATTTTATCTCCTCATCTACTCTAGTGCATGTATGCCAAGTCGCTTTAGTCATGTCCAACTCTTTGCGACCCCATGGACTTGTAGCCTGCCAGGCTCCTCTGTCCATGGGATTCTCCAGGTATGAATACTGGAGTGGATTGCCAAGGGCATCTTCCTGACCCAGGGATCAAGCCAGGATCTCTTATACCTCCTATATTAGCAGGCACGTTCTTTACCACTAGTGCCACCTGGGAAGGCCTCCCCCTGCCAAAATATGGAATACTTCACGAATTTGCATGACATCCTTATGTAGGGGCCATGCTAATCTTCTCTGTATCATTCCAATTTTAGTACATGTGCTGCCGAAGAGAAGTAATTTATCAGTAATACCATCTTTCTCCCTGAATATCAGTGAAATGTAGAGAACGTGGTCATCTAAAACAGTGACAATCTATCTTACAATGACTTAATTTTGTACATAAAGGCATTATTCATAATAGCCAAAAATGGGAAAAAAGTCAAGTGTCCATAAACTGATGAATTAATAAACAAAAATGGGGAATACACATGCAAAGGACTATTAACTCAGCCATAAAAAGGAACAAAATACTAATACACACTACAACATAGATGAACTTGAAAAGATTATAATAAAAAAAAGAAACTAGAGAATATCATGTATGATTCCATTTATATAAAATGTCCAAAAATAGGCAAATCTTTGGAGCCAAGAATTAAATCAGTGGTTTAATATAATTAAACTTTCAGGATTTGAAAGTTTAGGGAAAAATATTAAGTGATAACTAATATGTGTGGGGTTTTGTTCAGGGAGCTCATGAAAATGTTCTAAAATCAGATTGTAGTGATTGTTTGACTATCTTGTGAATATATCAAATAAATGTAATTGTACACTTTAAATGGGTGAATTTTACAGTATATAGAGTATATCTCAGTCAAGATATTTTAAAATTTTAATTATTTCTAATCCTTGTTCTTTCAAAAAGACTATCACAAATAACCTTATTCCAGCTTGTAATGCATTTTAATGGAATGCCACTTTCATAGCAAGATATTCATTGATTTCCTCCCTACATACTCACCTGATCTCCTTTCTGAAACTCTACATCGATTGGTCTTTTTTGTTCACTGATCTGCCCAGGTGGCCCAGGGGGGCCCTGAAGACCTTGCTCACCCTGTTTGCAAGATAAAATAAGTAAAGTAATATCTCACAGTTTAAACAGACAATAATATAATATAACATGCAAGCTAATTTAGTTGAAAGAAGCAAAAAGACAAGTTCAAATGACTGTGAAAGAAAAAAACTGAGGGTTGAATAATCAACTTTTTTCTCTACTCACCTTCTCACCCTTGGGTCCCTGGAAATTTAAGCCCATATTCCCCTGAAGAGAGAGATTTGAATTTAAAACCTCATTGACTATGGCAGAAACCAACACACTATTGTAAAGCAATTTTCCTCCAATTAAAAAATAAACAAGTTAAATAAAAAACCTCACTGACAATAACAACAACAACGAAAAAATCCATACCAAATAAAAGATGTTAAAAGAAGAAAGAAAATTACCTTTGGTCCTGGAAGTCCTGGTGGGCCAGGAGGGCCCTAACAGTGAAAGACACAGAAAAAGGAAAAAAGAGTTATATTAATGAGCATATTAAAAATAAGTTGGTTTCATAGAAGTAAGGACTGAAAAAAGTCCTTTAAAATAATATTTCCTGAGGTTTTTTTCTCATTGTTTTCTTGTCAGAGACACATATTTAAATTAATTTTAAAAAACTAGATGATAGAGGTGACTTCTCTTGACAGGCTACAAATGGGTGAGGAAAGAAATACGAGGATGGGTAGAGGCCGTGGGGTAGCACTCATGCCAAAAATAAATGCAAAAATTAATCTCAACAAATATCAAACTTATCATATCAGAATTATGGGTTAAACTTAGGTACCATTAGACAATTAACTGTCCAGTTCTAAAAGGCGTGTGTTTACTTCTTTAATGCAATTTGATTTTATATGATATTTGTATATTTGAGAATGTTTTAAGGTTTGAAAAGTTAAATTGGCATTTGTCTGTCCAGGGATATCACCTCCTGATGTCAACTGATCTATTTATTCACATATTACACCTTGGTAGCATTTCTAAGACATTGAATCAAGGTTAATTGCAGGGACATTAAGAACAAAGTCAATGTGTTATGTGGTCACAAGAATTAAGGAAATTCAAGGCGTAACAATACACCTAGGGTCGGCCAAGGTTGTAATAGAGTTCGGAAAAAGTGCCATGCTCCAAAATCTCATGTTTTGCAAGATATTTACAACTAAAACAAACTAAACAAAGACGTTTTCTAATCCTCTCCTAAAGATTTCTAAGAAAGTAGAAATTACAATCTTTTTCTGGTAGATTTTCTAGTATTTATCAAACATTATTTCATTATTTCTTTCATTCATGAATAGAGGACCAATGGTCACAAGCAAAAATGCATAGTCTATAAAGGTATAATGAAAACTGTCATTTAAATATATGATAGATGAGAGATAGAGTGGCACATGAGAAATTACTTTGAAGTACAATTTTCTTGCCCTTTTAACAGGGCAACAGTACAGTTCTAAGTTTAAAATATGACTTAAATGAAATTTAAGTATTTCAGGGGTAAAAGTACTTACAATTTATTAGAGTAGAAATGTAAGTGACGATACAGGTAGTAAAGTAAGAGAACTGGTTGCACATTCAGGGTCTTTATAAGTTTTTGCTTCTTTCCTGGGGAATAAAAATCCTTATCCCATTTCAGAGTGATTCACTACCCTCACCAATCCTACTGTTCTGTCACAGGTCCTTAAGAAATGAAAGCTGATATTTTGTGTGTGTGTGTGTGTGAATATCTATTTTTATTCCTTTTTAACAGAAAACTGCATCTTGAAGAAACATGTTTCATCAAGTGACTTAAGAATTGCCTTAGAAGACTTCATAAGATGGCCCCAGAAGTGACTTCAAATCTGACACATCAAGAGTTAACCACCAAGATACTTTATTTTAAATCTTTCCTTTTGTGTACCTCATTCTTTCCATCTATAAAATGGAGCTATTATTTAGCATATATATTATTCACCATAACACTATAGAATCTCCTATATAAGAAAACTTAAGAAAACTATAGATCAAATTTATTATATTTTCAAGTAGTACAAATAATATTAGTATTTGTAAAATGAAAGACAAGGAGGAGAAATGAAATGACAGAAGGAAGCTCACCATCAAACCTGGTGGTCCTGGGGGACCAATTGGCCCTGGTATACCAGGGGGACCAGCTGGGCCCTGTTATAAAGAAAGTAAAGAAAAGGATAAGAAAAAAAAACTTGTATAAAGAACTAAAAGGGTGAAATTTAAGTTTAGTTGCTGGAATTCTGTTCTACAAGTCTATAATTCTGAAGTACAATAAGCAGAATTTTAAAATGTAGAATAAAAGGATTGAATGACTATAAAGAAATTCAACTAAACAGAATGAATGCAGTTTTTAGAGAACTTATGTTTTACAGTGGTACACAATAAATATGGGACAAACATATAGTAAGGAAGTTTTAAAATGTGAAGCAATAAAGATGGCCATTTAGTGGAGCTTTTATGCTAGAAATGGGAAGGGAAAGCCTACTAGTTTCAAGGTGGCTTCTCTAATTTTAAAATAAAAATGAATAAAATTAAACACAAAGAGGGAAGTGAGAAAAACTGGGACAAAAGTTAAAGGAATGATGTAATGGCTGTGGAGCAAAATTAGGCATCTTAATAAGTTGAAAATTTGACTGCCTTGAAATCTAACAATTTTATATCTGGATATAAATTCTGGGTTATTTTATAATTTAAAAAATCTCCAAACAACCCAAATATCCAACAACAGGAGATCAGAGAAACAAATTCTAGTATATCAAACAATGGACTGTAACATGGAAGTGAAACTGAATGAACTGCAGTCATATACAATAATATGGGTGATCTTAACATATCAAATAGAAAAAGTTGCAGAAAACTACACATACATTTTATATTACTTTAAAAGCTAAATACTCTTGTTTAATGATATACGTGCATGTAATAAAACTACTTTTAAGAAGAAATGGAATGCAGAAGGGTGTGACTGCCAAGAAAGGTTGATTGAAAATTACAACGTTCTAGTTCTTAAACACTGCATTGGGTTCATAAGTGGTCATTTGGTAATTATGCTTTATAACCTACATATACTTTGCATGTATTCTGCTATATTTTCTTTTCTTTTTTTTTTTTACTGAGCAAATAATTTTATTTTATTTTTTTTCATTTATTTTTATTAGTTGGAGGCTAATTACTTTATAATATTGTAGTGGGTTTTGTCATACATTGACATGAATCAGCCATGGATTTACATGTATTCCCCATCCCTCTCTACCCAAACCCTCTGAGTCTTCCCAGTGCACCAGGCCCGAGCACTTGTCTCATGCATCCAACCTGGGCTGGTGATCTGTTTTCTGCTATATTTTCAAATATAATACAGTAAAAGTTAGAAAAGATTGGTAATACTTAAGAACATATGGATGGGTGATATCAAGTATGTATTAAGGTGATTAATGAAAAAAGTCCCTGACATGGTATCTTAGTGATCAAATACTAGAAAGAACTGATTTTTATTTTTGGCAAAAGGAGCAATCCTCATGAAATATAAACCTTAAAAAAATTAATTCCCTAATCTATAAATCCCCAAAAGTTGTTGTCATCTCTGTGTATGTTATGTGTAGCCTGACACAACAATTTTTCTTAAGATTACACTTGACATTCACTATACATATATTTTATTCTTTCAGCCTTCAAAATATGTTAATACATTATGCATAACTGGTAATGTTATAAATGAATTCTTCAAATACCTTGAATGGGAAACCTGCAATTTTTAATCAGACCATTTACTCCTACTACCCTATTGATCTCCACAGCACAGAAATAAGACTATATAGAAGGCTGTTTCTGCTGCAAAACTCTGAAACAAAAATTTCCATGGAAACTGGATTTGAAAGGTAGAAGAACAAGCCACACTTCTTAAAAATCTCCCTGGTCAAGACTGCTTTTATTTTCACATACAACATACCTGCCATGTCTATCAAACCTCAGATGCTAATTTCTATAATGAAAATAGAGAATACTATAAGGTGAGGATAAAAAAAAAAGTGATGCTGTGCTCTGATTTAATCAACAGGGCAAAGAAGAAAGTCAGCAGATGCTTACTTGTATTCCAGGAGGACCTGGATATCCTGGATTACCCTTTGGTCCTGGCAGTGATGACATAATTATACTACCTGCTTCTCCCTGAAAGAAACCATAAGTGGTAATTGTAAGTAATAGTTATAATACAGGAAAGCTGGCCAGAATACAAAAAATGAACTAAGCATTCAATTTGTCACATAAGTGTCCTCAAAGATTTAGGCAACCTCAGTAGTTAAATGAATACATTTACTGTTCAAAGGAAAATGAGGAAGTGGGTACAGTACATGGAAGTACAGTCAATTTGTTAAGAACCTGTCATACCTTTGGTTACTCATTCATGAAAAACATTAAATATTAATATTTGCCAAGAATTGTGTTAGGCTTTGGATGCTTCATAGAAAAGAAGATAAAACAAGACACCTGTTCTCACTGTGCTAATAATATACTGGGGAAATTCATATCATAACATGTAAACAAATAAGATGATAAAATTTTCTGTTTAGGACTATAAAGAAAAACTACATTGTACATGATAAAGAAATGGTGGAGAACAATCACAGAAATGATAATCATGTAATGTCCTAGAGGGGCTAACTATCGTTATAATGGAGATCATATTACAATATATAAACTTATCAAATTAACATGTACACCTTAAATTTACACAATGTTATATGCCAAATATATTTCAATTTAAAAAAGAAATAGTGGAGAGAATTTGTTTGGGCAGTGAAGAAGGGCAATCTATGAAGGCGACATTCAGGCTGAGATCTAAAGGATCATGAATCAGCCAGGAGAAGATGGGGGAAGAGCATTAGGCAATGTAAGCAGCATGAACAAAGGACCCAGAAAGGGATGAATCTGGCACATTCAAATAACTTAATGCAGACTGGTGTGATCAGTGAGCCCAAGGAAAAGCGGCTTAGGGATAAGGCTGGAAATGTGGGGCAAGGACCAGAATACGCAGCTCTTACAGGCCATAGAAAAAAATGTGGACTTTATCTTGGATGCAGTGGGAAACCCTTGAAGGTTTATAAGGAGAGAAATTAAATTACTGATTTATATTTTAAAAAGATCATTCTTGGCTGCTTTGTATAGAGTAAATCATGCTGGGAGGTGAGGGGTACAAAAAAGAAACGAGTTAAGAGGCTACTACACTAATCCAGATGAGGCATTATGGTTAGTGTGCTGGCAGTGGAAATGAAGAAAAAGTGGATGAATTTTAATACATATACTTACAGGCAAAATTAACAGTATTTAGAGATAGTATGCAATGAGGAGATGTGAGAAGGAGTAGAAAATGCAAATACTAACTCTCAGGCTTTGGTACATGTAAAAGTGTACATGGTATACAGTGATACAAATTTTAGAGATGAGGAAAACAGAAGGAGGAAAAGGTTTACTTGGGGGTCTGGGTTAACTCTGAGGACGTTAATTTGAATGTCTGGGAGATAAGTCAGGAGATGTCAGGGAAGCAGTTTAATGCATGCATGTAACTCAGAAGAAAACTCTGTTTTAGAGATAGAAATGTAGGTGTTCCATAACTAGACAGCAATCAATACCATGAGCATTAATGATATTGCTAGGCATAGAGGGGAAGAAGGGGTCAGGACTGTGTCTTGATGCTTGCTAGACAGAATAACATGAACTTGCATAGAAGACTGAAGAATGACTGGAGATGCAGAAGAAAGATTAGGAAAAGGGAAAGAATATTTCCAGAATATTCCCTCGCAGAAGCCAGAGGGAAAGAATATTTCCAGAGGGAGCAGGTGGTCAACTGAATCAAAATGTAACAAGGAAGGTATCAAAAAGAACTGTGAGGGTGATATACACATTTGCAAGCATACCAGCCCATAAAAGGTACTTGAAACCACAAGAACAAAGGAGAATACTTAAGGAGAGCTCATAAATGTGCACCTGTGCAACTTCTAGAAGCATCCATTTAAAGACAGAAGTCAGAGACATCTGACTAAAGATGCAGGCTTTCCAAATACTTTATTTAAAATGCTTACCTTTCCAATATGAGATACTTACCTTCATACCTGGGATCCCAGGAGGTCCCTATTATTAAAAAGAAAAGGAATTATATGAATGAGGGGGGAGGGAGCAAGCAAAATTGAAGAGGTTGCTATAAGGCCATTCTGAGGAAAAGGTATCTTAAGATACTTAGAGATGACATTTATATTAAATATGCACTACAGAGTCATTGCTTTTACCCAGCAGAAAGCTCTATGCACTACTAACTTCTTTTTTTAAAAAATCATTTTACTTTATTACTTTGAAAAGTACTATTTTGTTCCACAAAAATGCACTGAGCTCACTTTGTACACTTCTGCTTATGTTAATTCCTGTGTTCATTATAATTCCAAATTTTATAACTTACTGGAGGACCCTGTAAACCGGGAAAACCGGGACTGCCTGGAAATCCACGTTCTCCCTAGAAGGAGTTAAAAATAAAAAGAATGGAGGAACAAAACACAAAGCATCATTATAGCAACAAACAATAACTTACTGAAAAAATTTCTGCAAAATTCACTTTGAAACATGCCAGATTGTCAAAAATTCATTAGCCTTCACTTTTCAATTACCTTGATAACAACTATCCATATCAAATCAACCTTCTAAGATACTTTTATCTCCACTCATGAATCCCAATCAGAAATAAAGGAAAAAAAATCTTCTACTTTAGTCATTTTCTTCTGACAAATCCATTTTGAGAGAATCATACCACAGATTCCTGTCTATCATCACATTTAATAGTTAATGATCTGCTCCAATTTCCTGCCCATGTATTATATAGATTCATATTTTAACTGCCCCATTGCTTTTTTCTTTTATTGTAAACTATTTCAAATTATTTTTGTAAAGAGGAAAAGATGGTAAGAAAGAATGCCATTAACATCACCAAGAGTACAATCATAGCAATAGTTTTAGCAATTTCAGGTCATTATGTTCTCTAGGCATCCAATTTTTCTCACTCCCTATTGTAAAGTACTAATACAGACATTTGGTTTAGAAAACAAAAGCTAAAATGGCTGTAGAAGAACCCCAATGCAACCTCCTTTCAAATACCCATGTGCTGTAGTACTTCTAGAAACATCCTTGTCAGAGGCTTAAAAGAGTAAATGATACAGCTACGTGCCTTTGACTTATTGTCCAATATCCCTTTCTCCACCACTTTTTACACATGGAAAAAATAAGCCCAGACAGAAAGGAAGTGGCCTGTACATCGAGTTTAGAAAACAGAGAACAAAAGAATCCATATATTTTGACTCCATCTCTAGGGTTCATTCAATTAGTTATATAGTTAGAAATATAAGAATCCATTTAATCTGCAGGTACACATAATGCTTTTTTCAGGCCAGTATTCTGGAGTGGGTAGCCTTTCCCTTCCCTAAGGGATCTTCCCAACCCAGGGATCAAACCCAGGTCTCTTGCATTGCAGGTGGACTCTTTACCAGCTGAGCCACAAGGGAAGCCCAGTTACAGTTAGAAATATAAGATTCCATTTAATCTGCAGGTGCAGATAATGCTTTTAAAAAATTTTGTTGCTTACATAATTGGAGGGGACTCAAATGCAAACGAATCATGAGATCTGCTAAGGTGTTGCCTTAACAAGAAAAGAAAAAGATCCCTTTAATCACATAGCATACTATACTCATTGTAGATATATCTGGTCTTAATTAAAACTTTGGCTAGTGGTCTGTTTGTTGCTCAAGACATGCTAGCAAAAAAACAATCAAATTACCAGAATAGGCACATGAATGTAGCCTGCTTTAACATACAATATGCCACGCAAACTAACACCATGTTGGTCCTATCACTGTAAGGTTGCCCCAAGCAAAAATGAAAAACACAAGTAAGCCTCACAAATCCAAAATCAGAATATTATTATTATTAGTGGCAAGGATGACACTGACTTGGAAAAATATTGGAGGTAACAGTAACTTTATTGCCTACAAGTATACACTACAATGATTATCATAAAATGTGATGGCCTGCATAATGCAAAATAGTTTGTTCAAGTTATTTTAAATATTATGCCCTAATATAAAATATGACAAAAGTCATTAATTAGAAAGATCTATGGTATTTCAGAATAGTTTCACAGAGTATTATGTGCAATATTGAAATATCAAAAGGATACACAGAAAATAATATTTCATTAACCTATAGGAAAAGGAGAAAAGTGAGGGAATAAGAAAAAACAAATACTTGTAAGCTTTTAAAGAGCAAATTTTCCTCTCTTTTTTTCTTGCTCTCACTTTATACTTAATCCAAATACTTGGATTTAGTCTTGACTAAAGAAAAGAAGGCCAGGAAACAATGTTTGTAGCATATGACACTTTATTTTATCACTTGTTAAATTCATTATTTTCTATGATGGAGAAGTTTCAGGTTTCATACTAATAGTTCATAGTAAAAACTGATGTGGTGTATTACATATAGATTTTTAGGATTCTTCTTCAGGAAGTTATTAGGCAAGATAAAAAAGTTTAAGAATATGAAAGATTTGAAAATTTTAAGTGTACCTAGTTTAAAAAAAATCAAAGCTAATGAATGACATTCACAAGTATTACTCTTAACTGATAATATCACACATATATATGTGTGTTTATATGTATAAACATATATATCCTAATTCCTTTTTAACTTTCATTTCATTCATTGAAACATGTATACTATCATATGTGAAATAGATTGCCAGTCCAGGTTTGATGCATGAGACAGGGTGCTCAGGGCCAGTGCACTGGGATGACCTTGAGGGAGGGGATGGGGAGGGAGGTGGGAGGGGGGTTCAGGATGGGGAACAGATGTACACCCATGGCTGATTCATGTCAATGTATGGCAAAAACTCTCATTCTACTTAACACTAAAACACAAAAGGGATTTGGTAGGTAATCTTCAACTCAGTGCAATATCCCAACTAATTATACAGGCTTAAAGAATTACTGATGTTTCAGTATATTGAAAATGTTAACTCAGAACATACCCCATGTCTGTCCTAGATATGAAGCTACTATATCTCTTCTTTGACATTCTCGATATTGATTCCTTGAAATGTTTAAGTTCATTATTATCTAGCATATTGCCTAAGATTAAGTCAAATAAATCTCACCTTGGTTCCATTGCATCCAGGGATACCTTGAGGTCCTGGGGCCCCATCATGGCCTGGCATTCCCTTTGAAAGGGGATATAACACATGTATAATATTTCTTAGATTACTGTTTTAAGAGATTTTAAAAATAAGAAGCCAGATTCTACTTACAGGAAGACCTGGTGTCCCTGGAAATCCAGGAAGTCCAGGAGGACCCTATAAAAAGAAATAAATAACAATCAATGACAATAAAATAATATTCAACCTAAGGGAATTATGAAAACTACATTTAACAGCAATGGACAAAATGTGTCTCATTGATTATTACCACTCATTCTTTTTTAAACACTATAGAAAAAACTATACATGTTTAAAATCTCTTTTATAGAAACCTATAGAAGATACTCCTATTTGGGTGAGTTGTTTTAATTGTCCTTAGTTCAGTTCAGTTCAGTCGCTCAGTCATGTCCGACTCTTTGTGACCTCATGGATTGCAGCACTCCTGGCCTCCCTGTCCATCACCAACTCCTGGAATTTACTCAAACTCATGTCCATTGAGTCGGTGATGCCATCCAGCCATCTCATCCTCTGTCGTCCCCTTCTCCTCCTGCCTTTAATCTTTCCCAGCATCAGGGTCTTTTCAAATGAGTCAACTCTTCACATCAGGTGGCCAAAGTATAGGAGTTTCAGCCTCAGCATCAGTCCTTCCAATGAATATTCAGGACTGATTTCCTTTAGGATAGATTGGTTGGATCTCCTTGCAGTCCAGGGGACTCTCAAGAGTCTTCTCCAACACCATAGCTCAAAAGCATCGATTCTTTGGCGCTCAGCTTTCTTTACAGTTCAACTCTCACATGCATACATGACCACTGAAAAACCATAGCCTTGTCTAGACGGACCTTTGTTGGCAAAGTAATGTCTCTGCTTTTTAATATGTTGCCTGGGTTGGTCATAACTTTCCTTCCAAGGAGTAAGCATCTTTTAATTTCATGGCTGCAGTCACCATCTGCAGTGATTTTTGAGCCCCCCAAAATAAAGTCTGTCACTGTTTCCACTGTTTCCCCATCTATCTGCCATGAAGTGATGGGACCAAATGCCATGATCTTAGTTTTCTGCATGTTGAGCTTTAAGCCGACTTTTTCACTCTCCTCTTTCACTTTCATCAAGAGGCTCTTAAGTTCTTCTTCGCTTTCTGCCATAAGGGTGGTGTCATCTGCATATCTGAGGTTATTGATATTTCTCCTGGCAGTCTTGATTCCAGCTTGTGCTTCATCCAGCCCAGCATTTCTCATGATGTACTCTGCATAGAAGTTAAATAAGCAGGGTGACAATATACAGCCTTGATGTACTCCTTTCCCTATTTGGAACCAGTCTGCTGTTCCATGTCTAGTTCTGTTGCTTCCTGACCTGCATACATATTTCTAAAGAGGCAAGTCAGATGGTCTGGTATTCCCATTTCTTTAAGAATTTTCCACAGTTTGTGGTGATGTAGGAGCAGGCAAATTGGTGGATGAAATGTCTGTTCTAAAAAACAAAGTGATTCTCCCAGGTTTGTGATGAATCCTGAATACAGCAGGGTATGGATAAGTGGCAAATACTGATATATCTGCCTCCAAGAACATCAATGTGATCACCCCCAAAATCTTAATCAAATATCCCTGTCAGGACTGGCAAAAAAATACAAGTTTGACAAAATTCTCTGTAGGTAAGGCTATGAAGAAAAGGTACTCTCAGACAACTACTAATGGGATTTAAACACCATGGAGAGAAATTTGGAAATATCTAACAAAATTACACATGTATTTATTTACTCTTTGAGGCAACTCATTTTAAGAAATCTGTCCCAAAGGCACATAAGAAATTATAAAATATGAAATCCAAGGTTACTGACTGAATTATTGTAGCTGAAGTTTAGAAATGGACATATAACCAGAATTATAGTTGAAGGTTAGAAACAAGGCATGCATGTGTGCCCAGTCATGTCCAACTCTTTGTGACCCCATGGACTGTAGCCCACCAGGCTCCTCTGTTCATGGAATTGTCCAGGCAAGAATACTGGAGTCGGCTGCCATTTCCTTCTCCAGAGAACAAATAGGGACATGAATAAACAAACTAAGGTATATCTGCATAATAAAAAACTATGCAGCTTTAAAAAAGAATGTGGAAGATCTCTGTACCCTGAAATACATACTGATCTCCAGGATAGAATGTTAAGTAAAAGAAACAAAGTTTAAGTAGTGTATATAATATACTACCTTTTTATAACAAAGGTAGTGATACTAAACAGTGAAAGATAAACAGAAAATGAAAAATAATTACCTCTGGGGGAAAGAGAAAAGAGAATGGGGAGATGGTAAAGAAGGATGGGAAGCATCTCTGACTACACCTAGTCTTATAGAACAATGCACTTATTTTAAATAATGAAAATTTTTAAAAAAAGGTAAAAAGGAAATCATCAAGAATTGAAAGCAAACTGGAACCAATGAACCTAAAGTACACTGAACTGTGGACAGTGACCATACATAGAAGAAAACTACTTTTGACTGAAATGAGTCAGTTCAAAGGGGATAAAAAACAGCAAAGAAATAATTAGTGGCAGTTAAGATTTCTACTATTACTTTTAAAATTGAAATGTTTATTTTGTTTATTTGTATATTGTTATTTTGAAGTCATTATAGCTATACTGTAGGACAAAGGAATTAATTATATTAATATCATTGGTAAATGAAGATTTTCATGTCAGAGAGAGAAAGGTGGCAGGGGGAGAGAACAAGTATAAAAAAACATTTTATTTTAAAAGTTCCATTGGAAGTAATAATATGAACTCATATTTTTTCTCTTTAAAAAAATACATATTTCTTAACTTTGTCCCCTTAAAATATATCAAAACAGTGAGAAAACTAGTAGCAATGAACACTCCTTATATTCAGACTGTGGAATCTAAATCACTGAAAGAATCTGTAATCAGAGACGTGGTCAGTTCCAGATCTAGAGAGGACATGCATAAGTTGAGCCTGAAGGGTCTTATGTCAGAAAGCAAAGAAATTATCAAAGATCAATAGGGTTTTGTCAATAGGAGAAATCACAGGGGCCAACTTGAAGAGGCTCCCACAGACAAACATGAAATAATTTGAGCTTCAAAAAGAATAATGAGTACAAGTGATTGAAACACAGAAATTCCATGTGTTTCTAATGATAAATTAAAAAAACCTTCCTTGATCATCACTCGAAGTTGCCAGTATACAAACTCATTACCCCACTAGAATTCAGCTGATAAATTAGAATTCAAGTTAATAAATTTAGAATTCAAGCTATTCAATGAAGGATTGATAGACTTTTAAAACTTATCATTTTACAACTCCAAATAAAAAAAAAAACAGAAAACAAAAAACAAAAACTTGGATCTAACCAATGATCATGGATGGATGCTAAACCACTATGTGAAAGTTGATGGGGAGATTTTGGTGGCAGAATCAGGCTCATACATCTGAGACCACTGACCAAATCTAGCATCAAAAAAGTGGGATAGACAGATGTTTGTGCCATGAGATGTAATTCAACAGTAAATATACAGCACTACCTATAAAGTATTGTTGTTCAATTTTCTTTCATTTTTTTATCAGTATAGTTTATATACAGTAAAATGTACACATCTTAAATGTACAGATTTTTCTTTATTCCTAGAAAGTTCTCTAGTGCCTCTGCTAAGGCAACCTCAAAGTTGCAGGAAACATGGGGGACAGAGAAATAATTTAAATGACATCATGAGGAAACAGTCAGGCAGATCCAGATTGTGGAACACAGTACAATACCATGATCCAGTTTCTTCAATGGCATAATAAAAGAGGCTTAAGAAATACATCAAGCAAATGCAGTATGTGGAACTTGCCTGGATCCTGGTTTGAACAAACCAATTGCAAAAGGAAATCTTTGGGACAACTGAGAAAACCTGAATATGGACTGAATTTTAAAGGATACTGAAAAGTTTTTGCTAAGTTTTTGAGGTATAATAATGGCATAATGTGGTTATCAGTTCAAGAAACATAATATTCACTGGTGGAATGATGATGTGAGGGATTTACTTTAAAATATTACAGGCAAGAGTGGTGAGGTATAGATGAAACAAAGTTGTCAAAATGTTGATAGTTTTTAAAGCCAAGTAATGACTTCATGGGGGTGTCACTGTAATATCAATATATTCTCTGTAAATTTGTGTATGCTTTAAATTTTCCATAATAAGTCTTTTAAAATCTGCATGCCAACAGCTGCCTATGAGCTGAGACCTGAGGATGCAGGAACTATCAGGCCACCAAGTTCTAAGCACTCTCAGACACTTTAAAGTGGAAAGTGATAGAGTGGACAGATTTTCTTAGTCTCAGCAGTACTTAGGACATAGTTAATGGTAGCTATAGCTATTAAGATATATGTTATGATTATTATGAACAGCTTTAATAGTATATTGATATTCGGTTATGACAGAAAAACACAGAAGCATGTCTGCTAAAAAAATGTTAAGGGTTTTGAGTTTCTTCCCTGCTTTTCCACTGCTCTACCTACACCAGTCAAAAGTAGCACATAAGGCAAGCTACGTGTTGTTAAGACATATATAGCAAACGGAATATTTTAAATATTTATGTAAAATGTATACATCTACTAAATTTCTGGAGATCAGAGGATCAGAATGTTTTTCTTTGTAATACACGTAAATATGCTAAGCCACCACCCATATATTCTATATTCAAATTCAGCGACTTGTCAATCTATGAACACAGAATTTCAGAGCTAAAAGAGACCGTGGAGATTGTCTTGTTTGACTTTCTAATTTAACAAGTGAAGAAACTGAGGCTCAGAAAAGTTAAATATGGTTTTCCAAAAGCCAGTACTATTTATAAACTATAGTTTCCTCCCAAATCTAAAACACACTGAAAAGTATATGTCTACTTAAAAGCTTTTCAGAAAAATTACACTAAATGTGTACTTAAATTTTCAAACACATCTTGAATTCGAGAACATTAAAACTTGAAAAATCATATATCTCAGAACTGATAAAATACTGTATTCTTCCAAAAATGGTTATTCTTTTTTTAAAATATTTTGCTATAATGTAGTTACATGGTGGTATAGGCAGTAAAACTTTATGGAACCAACTTCCTTTTTCAAAAATACTTATTCTTTAACATAATGGCTGCAACTAGAGCTTCCCAAACTTATTCTCTTCAAGACACACAAATAAAATTATACTATTTTACCTGGTTCCCAGGAAGGGTACATGACCTGAGGTGATCAGTTCTCTGAACTCTGAGATGATCACCCTGGTTGGGTAGTTCTGCTTTAAACCACTTGTGTGAAGTATATATTTAAGAATTTGAAAAATTACTGAAATTCAACACTTTCACATTTCTCAACCATAAGCTACTTTAAAGTCTTCTTATATTAGTTTAAATAGACATCTGAATATATAAAGACAACTATCAAAATACTAAAGAAAGGCTAATTATAGACATATGAACTCTGAAACTTTAAAAGACTTCACTTTGATTCCTTAAAAAACTGGAAATAGAACTGCCATATGACCCAGCAATCCCATTCCTGGGCATACACACCGAGGAAACCAGATATGAAAGAGACACGTGCCACCCCAATATTCATCGCAGCACTGTTTATAATAGCCAGGACATGGAAACAACCTAGATGTCCATCAGCAGATGAATGGATAAGAAAGCTATGGTACATATACACAATGGAATATTACTCAGCCATTAAAAAAGAATTCATTTGAATCAGTTCTAATGAGATGGATGAAACTGGAGCCCATTATACAGAGTGAAGTAAGCCAGAAAGAAAAACACCAATACAGTATACTAATGCATATATATGGAATTTAAAAAGATGGTAACAATAACCCTATATGCAGGACAGAAAAAGAGACACAGATGTATAGAACAGACTTTTGGACTCTGTGGGAGAAGGTGAGGGTGGGATGATCTGAGAGAATAGCATTGAAGCTTGTATATTATCAAGTGTGAAACAGATCACCAGCCCAGGCTGGATGCATGAGACAAGTGCTCAGGGCTGGTGCACTGGGAAGACCCAGAGGGATGGGATAGAGAGGGAGGCGGGAGGGGGGATCGGGATGGGGGGATGGGGAACACATGTAAATCCATGGCCGATTCATGTCAATGTATGGCAAAAATCACTACAATGTTGTAAAATAATTAGCCTCCAACTAATAAAAATAAGTGAAAAAAAAATAAATCATTAGTTTTAAAGCAAGAGCAAAAAAAAAAAATTAAAAAAAATAAAAGACTTCACTTTTCTTCCTGCATTTCTATATGAGTCTTTTTCCAGTTGCCTTATAACACTTCAGTAGCTTCTCCGTTTGACCAACAAAATATTTGATACAGCAAATATCACTTACTCTGATCCCTTTTGGTCCTGGTGGTCCTGGAACTCCATCATCACCCTGAAAAATACAACATAATTTAGTTATGTTTCCTTCAAAAAGAGCCCTCAAATAACTAACTTTGTATTGTAAACTGAGACAAGTTTTTGTGAACCTTTGTGAAAGTTAGTGATAAATTTATATACTCAAGGAAGAAGTATTTATTATTGAGACTAAAAGCACTAAGATAAGTCAAAAGCTAACAAGTAAGAAAGGCCTTTATTTACTAAGAAGAAAACTGCTGATATGCAGAAGAAACCTTATACCTGTAAAGTTAGTTCTGAATCATGTCAAGAAAATGAAGATTAAATAGTAGTACAGATATCCTTCAAATCATTTGTGCGTGTGTGCGTGATCAGTTGCTCAGTCATGTCTGACTCTTTGGGACTCCACAGACCATAGCCCACCAGGGATTATCCTGGTCCATGGATTATCCAGGCAAGAATCCTGGAGTGGGTTGTCATTTCTTCTTCCAGGGGATCTCCCCAACCCAGGGATCGAATGCATGTCTCCTGCATCTCCTGCATTGCAGGTGGAATCTTTACCACTGGGCCACTGGGGAAGCCCCAAATCATTTATGCATTAACAAAATTAGAGCTGAAAATCTGAACAGTTTCTATATTGTGTCAATCTGCTCACCATGCTGCTAACAAACAGCATCACCTTTGAACCTAACTATGAGCTGTCATGAGTTTGCTGTTTTAAAGCTTTGCTACGTTTTATACAGGCACTTCCTACTGTCAGAGCTAAGAAGGAACAAGAAAGAGCCACAGACTTTCCTTTCAAGCTTCTACTGCAGACTCCATGCAAAAGAGGCTGCCCACAGGATTGTTAATCTATTTATCCATTTCTAGTTACAACTGCATTGCTGAGAATTTAAAGTCTTGCCTCACTAAGTTTTCCTAAGTAGTTAAATAAAGGGGGGGGGGGATAAAGAAAACCTAATCCTGCTCCAATAGGCAGGATTTTCAGTGGAACGTACAGTTAATAGGCCACCATCTGAGGCTTTAGATAGTTTTACTAACTTGGGGTATCTTGCTTTAAAACAGGCTTCCAAACTACTCTACTTACAATCCTAGAGATTCCCTTAGAGGTTCCTTTATGCCCATGTCACAGCCCCTCTTCAACCAGTAAAGCTCTGTTTTTATCTGTTTTATTTGAGGTTTCATGAAAAATTTTATTTGGGGAAAAGGTTACCTGATGTATTAGTTTCTTATACTGCTCTTACAAATTACCACAAACTTGGTGGGCTAAAAAATAATATGATCTTACATACAGTTCTGGAAGTCTCAGTGGGAGAGCTGTGTTACTTTCTGGAGGGTTGAGATTTCATTTATTTTCTTTCTCCAGCTTCGAGAGCTACCAGCATCCCTCTGCTCATGGCTCTCTCTTTTTTTTTTTTTTTTTTAAATTTTATTTGCATTTATTTGTGACCTAAAGTAACATTTTTTTTTAAATTTTATTTGCATTTATTTGTGACCTAAAGTAACATTTTTTTTTAAATTTTATTTGCATTTATTTCATGGCTCTCTTCAATCTTCACATTCAGTGACAGCTGAATGAGTTTTTCTAACATTGCATCACTCTGACACTGATTCTTCTGCCTCCCTCTTCCACATTTAAAGGACCCTTGTGATTATACTGGGTCTACTCAGAGTAACCAGAATAATTACCCTAGTTTAAAACCAGTTGCCTAGCAGGTTTAATTCCACCTGTAATCTTAATTTCAGTTACTTTTATAACCTAACATATTCACAGGTTCTGGGGATTAGTTACAGACATCTTTGGCTTCCTGGTGGCTCAGATAGTAAAGAATCCACCTGCAATGTGGGAGACCGGGGTTCGATCCCTGGGTTGGAAAGATCCTCTGGAGGAATGCATGGCAACCCACTCCAGTATTCTTGCCTGAAGAATCCCAATGGACAGAGGAGCCTGGTGGGCTATAGTCCATGGGGTTGCAAAGAGTTGGACACGACTGAGCGACAAAGCACAATTAGGAGGTGAATATTAATCTGCCTGCCATACTCTGCTTTAAAACAAGCTTAATAATCTACTCTTTTCACAACAGATGCATCTCTAAGGAACTTAAAGTAAATCTAAATCTATTATAAAACTAGAAGATTGATTGCTCAATGAATCATTTTATGTATTCCCACTGAAGGCAGAAATAAGACAAGGATGCCTTAATACTATATTGGCCATACTAAGCAACATGTAGAGGTATAAAAATTGGGAAAAAATGAGGCAAAATGAATTATTTGTAAATAATATGTTTGTATGCATGGGAAATCCAAATTAATTAAATGAAAAATTACTATAATCAATAAAATAATTCAGTAAGGTAGCTGTATATAAAAATAATATGAAGAAATCAATAGCTTTCTTATATACCAACAACTACCTGTTAGAAAACATGATGGAAGAAAATATGCAATTTATAATAGCAGAAAAAGAAAATATTTAGCATCAAACTAAATAAGATGTATAAGATATGTAAGACAAAGTGACTAATGTTTATGTGGAAAAATAAGTAAGCAATAACACTGAGAAAAATTCTAAAGAATAAAAGGCAAATGAGGGGACACTAGCAGTGTCAGATAAAATATGACAGGTCAATAATTAAAATAGTTTGGTTCTGATATCTGAATAAGCAGACCATTGGAAGAGTATGAGAAGTCCAGAAACAGGTCCATATAATCATGCGAATTTGGTATATAATGAAAATGCATTACAAATCAGTGCAGAAAATTATATTGGGGCACACTGTGAGGACATCTAGAAAATAAAAGTAGAATTTATATCACAAATCATACCAGGGTGAATTAGAAATTGATATAATATTTACATGAAAAAATTGAAACTATTAATATACTGGAATAAAACATGGGAGAATTATTTTACAGTCTTACAGTGGGGAAGGCATTTCCTATTCAAAACCCCAAAGCCATAACAGACCTTTGATAAACACAGAGGGACATAAATATACACATACACAGATAAAGGGCAATCTCCCTGAAATATAAATAGCTCACTAAAATATGAAAACGCCAACAATCCAGTAGAAAAGTGGGCAAATTATATAAACACACAGTTCACAGAAATGAAAAGATGCTCAATTTTCACAAGAAAATAACATGAGTACTCATTACGAATGTATAGACCTCAGTGGCTAATGGACACAGTGGAAAGGAGGTATTTTTCATTGTATACCTTTTATGTTAATTTATTTTGAACAAAATGAATAGTTTATCTGTGGAGAATCAATTATTTTTAAGAATAAAGAAATACTTTGGAAATTTTTATATATACACTCCTATATATGTTATTTATATATATATATATTTGTTTTCTATACTTTTACTTTCATATACAAATGTATACAGATTAAAGAATAATCCTACAAAATTTTTGACTTGGTATGTACATTAATATATACACATGTGTCCAAACATCCAATCACATAAAAAGTATAAATTCAGCTATATTGGGAAGTATGAAGTCATAGTGGAGACTGAAGCACAACATGCTTCCAATTAAAAAACCCCAGAGCTTAGAAAGCAGTGAAACCTTCTCATTTTATGGATACAGAAATGGAATCACAGCAAAAGATTGAATTGCTTTCTTAATTTAAACTGCACACAACTACACCTTTAAAAATTATCATACACTGTACAATAGTCCCAATTAATTGTAAATTATTTCAAAAAAACCTAATGCAGTTAGTTTTTAATAATTTGACATAAATTTTATTAAAACTGAAACCACTCAGTGAGCATGGTGTGCAAGAAACTCAGCACCTAATACCAGGTAAACTCAGATACAACAAATATAACTTTATTTTTTTATGGTTCAACTTAATTACTAAGGACCTATTTCACTAACATTGCTGAAATTTAACCTCAATTGACTGGACTTCCCACACCTCATTTTCACAAGGCTGCGCCTAAGTTATGGAGAGCTTAAGTAGTTTCAAGGTGTTAAGGGGGTGGGACAGTCTAGTCCAAGCTGGAATTCATGGAGATGTCCTTTGCCAACAGTGTGCATGGATTACTGCTGAGTTAGTGCCCAATTCTGGGCTTCCCTGGTGGCTCAGCTCAGCCTACAATGTGGGAGACCTGGATTTGATCCCTGGGTTGGGAAGATCCCCTGGAGAAGGGGATGGCTACCCACTCCAGTATTCTGGCCTGGAGAATTCCATGGACTGTATAGTTCAAGGGGTTGCAAAGAGCTGGACATGACTGAGAGACTTTCGCTCACTGGGCTTCCTTGGTGGCTCCAATGGTAAAGAATCCACCTGCAATGCAGGAGACCCCGATTCAATCCTTGGGTCAGGAAGATTCCCCTGGAGCAGGAAATGACACCTCACTCCAGTATTCTTGCCTGGAGAATCCCATGGACAGAGGAGCATGGAGAGCTACAATCCATAGGGTCGCAAAGAGTTGGACACGACTGAGCAACTAAGCACCTAGTGCTCAATTATACCCACTTGACTCAGATCTTTCTGCTATTTCTGTGCTGCGCTTGGGTGTACAAGAAACATTCTGATGTTTTATACCTCATTAGAGTAGGAAATTCTGTTGTATGTCCCACCTACTTAAATTTTATGCAGTCATTTGGAGTTTTGCTTTTTCCTCAGTGTAAAAGTTCTCTATTCAGGAAATTTATACAAGTCATGTCTGTTCTTGAATCTAACAAAATTCCTTGGTGAACTACCACCTCCTCAGAGATCATGTGCAAACCTATTCCCATAATCTATGCTATGGTATAGTAAGTGTTAAAAAGTACTATGTATTTAAGTTAATTTTCACCCTTTACTAAGAAGGCCACTTGGTAAGTATCCATTTGATTCCCTTCATGCTCTAATGGCATGATGTACCACTATTCCATGAAATAAAATTAGGGGAAAAAAAGGGTTTTTAAACCAGTTTTCTTTTCCAGGAAAATGAACAGAACTAGCCCTTTCATCTATCAGTTCATCAGTCTAACTAATACAGATAGTAAAGGAGAATGAGCCAAAAGAGCCATTAAAAAACTCCAAAACTTCTCCCAATCTTAAAATTCACTATTATTTCTTTCCATTCCATAACATGCACATAAGTTGTTATCCTTGCTCATGGTATAGGAGAGACTACCCACACAGAAGTCAATGGGGAAAATTATCACCAACTGACAGGATGGCAGCATCTTGGGATCTTTGAGCATGGGTACAGGAGAGGGAGGTGTATGTACCTACCCTTTCTTCTTCCTCTCTCATAGAAAAGCCTACGTGACTTCCTCCTCACCAGATTCATTGATACAATTGTCTCAGATAGTCACCACTCAATTTGACAAACTGGTAGACATGTCACCCATCACCCAGCCCTGCAGATAAATGTCTGCTGTGTCCCTGAATACAACAAATGGGTATTTCTCTAAACATGGAAATTCTTAGTACCTCAGATATCCCAACATTGTTACACTGATGCATTGCCACAGTTGGACTCTGATGCTACAGAAATAAAACACCTCTTCAGATGTCAACTTGTTCTTAAATTGGGATTAACTGAGGCATCTGGGAAAAGGGATATGGGATTTGCCATTGGAGCTATTTTGACATCAATAGTGGTGGCCTTCTCCCCCATACATTCCCCTACCTTATACAAATTTTGCAATTCCACTCAAGGACTCTACTCGCCAGGAGGGACTTCTGGCTGTTTGAGTCCCATGATTATCAATAACTTTTACCCTCCCATCACCATGTGCACCCCACCTTGGGATATTTCTTTTGTAAAAGTCAGGCCTTTGACTTTCTGACCAATGTACATAATGGGGGCACTGACAAGAGACTTCTAAATATTCAAAACAGCCTCTCCCAATGAGTACATCACAGTAAAATAGAGTAAGAGTGGAACTCAAGGTAGATTGTGGTTACTCAGGAGAATAGTTTCTGCTCATGTTTATGTTCCTGGCAGCTTTTCCCACTGTCAGGACCATTCATTAGAAAAAGTTATGTGCAACTTGTCCTTGAAAGTGAAGTGAAAGTTGCTCAGTTGTGTCTGACTCTTTGCGACCCCGTGGACTATACAGTCCATGGAATTCTTGGCCAGAATACTGGAGTGGGTAACTGTTCCCTTCTCCAGGGGATCTTCCTAATCCAGGGATCAAACCCATGTCTCCCACAATGCTAGTGGATTCTTTACCAGCTGAGCTACCAGGGAAGCCCAAGAATACTGGAGTTGGTAGCCTATCCTTTCTCCATGGGATCTTCCTGACCCAGGAATTGAACTGGGGTCTCTTGCATTGCAGGTGGATTCTTTACCAGCTGAGTTACCAGGGAAGCCCCAACTTGTCCTTGACCTCTACTAAAGTCATTAATGATACCACTTCAGCTTTGGAAGCACAACAGACCAGCCTCAACAACCTGGCCTGAGTAGTACTGGATTAACAGCCTAGTCTTCAACTTCCTGCTGGCCAACCAAGGAATGGTCTTGCTATTGCCAGAACTTCATGATGTACCTACATCACTAAAACTGGCAAGGTAGAGCAGCCTATCACCAGACTTAAGTCTTCTGGCTCTCTAAATTTGATCAGATGGGCTATGGGCCATTTATTCCTGGCTTGGTAACTGTATGAGCCACCAGGGAAGCCCAGTGGTTGGGACTGATGGTTACACTCACTCCTCCAGGGAGGCCTGACCATCCTGCTTGGAGTAATTTTGATCAACACCATGATCCACTGCAGCCTCATACTAACTATATTGTGACATAACTCCTCAAAGTCCAACCCATCCAGGTCCATGTTGGAGTGACCTATGTTTCTCATATGGGTCTTAAAAAATCAAGAGATGAAATTGAGGATTCTGGCTCCTGGCTAAAGACCTACGTGTGATTTTTCAGACCCAGGCACAGACAGTTACAAAGACCTCATGGTAAGCCTCACATAGAAAAGCTGCCCATCCCATGCCAGAAAGCCGCATATAGGAAAGTGGCCCATCCCACACCAGAATTAGTGCACAGCCAATGCATGTCAGTCTCTGAAGGGAGGTGTAGTTAGGGCATCAGTCCTCCTGGCTGATCATGCTCTTATGCACATCTGCATTGAAAGACCTCTTTATATGGAACCTTGCTGAAGACCTCTTTATTGAGTGCAGGATGGGGACCTTGAGGACATTTTTTTCTGTTCTCTGTACTTTTCTACTCCTAGCTCTTCCCTCTCTCCCTTCATCCATCCAGCCCTCTGGTATACTAAAAAACAGCAGTTTTTTTCCCTCCAAGCTTCTGCAGCAATGAAACAATTCCCCATGCTGAAGCATTTGACCCTCACTGGCACTTTTCCATGAGGAAAAATGGAACAGTGGGGAAATCCACACTTTCTCTGGTTTATGTTTTGCTTATACACACTGTCACAGTAAGTGACTAAAAGCTTGACTGTTACTTTCATTTTGGCTTGTTGTCTTAACCAGTACTCTGACACCTGTCAGTTCAGCTCTCTCCAGCTCAGCTGAGCTCCTGACAGGACTTAATTTTTGTTCAGGATCCCAATAACCACACACCATTAACAGTATCTTCCAAAAGCATTTGAATACAGCAGTAACATTTAGCCTTTTACAGAAACCAACAATGAAGTATAATTCTTGGCCATTCTACTGTTTTATTTAAATATTAGTTTTTGGCTGTAATTCAGTAACTTTTTAATTCATCTGACACTTATCCCATATTAAGATGGCTTCATTTCTTTGGTATTACTGACTGGCAACTTGGCACGTACCTTTTGTCCCCGAGGCCCTGGGGGCCCTTCTGGACCTGGAAATCCAGGCAAACCTGGATGGCCTTCCAAACCTGGAAATCCTCTCTCCCCCTGCAATTGGACAAGAAAGAAAGATAAGGTCACTCATCAATTTTCAAGCAGAAGCATGGATGAGATTCAAAAACATTAAATGACTATCTAGAGAAGATTAATTTATTTATGCTAAATTCAGAGTATCTACTAACATGGAGAAAACTGTATGATATGAGTAGAAAAACACAAACCACTCTAAATTTATATCATATTTGGTAATGCAATCTCTTGCTTTCTCATAAAATTTAAAGGCTTATCAGAGATGAAATAAAGCTGAAACATACTGACATGAAGAATTTAACAGGGAAGATGGCAATAAATTCAGGAAACTAGGTCTGAAAGGGTTACAATGAAATAAGTATGGTACACAGATGAAGAAGGTTAAAAGAACATCAGAGAAGATTTCAGGTTTGTAGTAGAGCATAGAGTTGTAGGATCATTCATAATGGAAATTAATTAGCTGGTTAGTGATAAGTTAGCTAGAAAAGGGCTTGATAATATCAAGATCTTTATATATTTTTTCTGATTGTAAAATTAAGTTAAAAAAGGAGTCCATGTTTGTTCTGGTAAAAAAGAAAAAGAAAAAAACCACCATTAATTATGACTCAAGTCCCAGTTCTGACCACAGCACTTAATAACACTAGCACAGGAGGGCTGCCTACCTACTAGTGAGGATCCACCACATCTTGTCAGCATCTATCAACAAAGGTTGCCTGATGTGCAAATCTCTACAACCAGATAGGTGGGGGCTACAGAGCCACCATGTGTACTAACATACCATTAGACATATTAAAGTTAGTTAACTTGCATACAGTCAGTTATGCAAAGAGTAAAAACCCCAACATCTCCAGGGATCCAATCACAGAAAGCAAATTCACCACTATTACATTTAAGAACCCCAAGGGCTCATAGTTCCAAGGCATGAGCTTTCAACTGCTCGGCTGCACACAGTTCCTCTACTTTTCTAAGGCTTGAAGGTTGAGTCTCTGGCTAAAGGCTCTGGACCTTGTTGTGGGAACCCCTCTCCCCAGATTCTATCCACAATGACAGCCTAGGCAGCACGTGAGAAAGACGAAGCGTGTATATCTATAAGGCAACTGACTAATGGCCCATAAGAGGCATATACCCCTGGAGATTAAGGAACAACAGACTTTCATTCACAATCCCAGTGGGCATGTGTATCTGTGTGTGTGTGTGTGTGTGTGTGTGTGTGTGTTAAGTACTAAGTTTAGCCTGGATAGCTTAGATAATCTTGTACTGAATAATTTTTTATGTTGAATCATACTATAATAAATATAAGAACTTTGAAAAGGCTACTTCTGGTCAATTTTCACTTATTACTTCAAAACCAATGAAGCAAATGTTACCCAATTAATGGTAGGTCTCCACATTCCTGTAGCATTGACAATAATTATCATTATTGACATGTTACTGTATTTTCTATTTTCAATAAATGTATCTCTTTGTTGTTTTAATTACTCATAGGATTGTGATAATTTAGCATCCAAAGGGCTTCCCTGGTGGGTTAGATGGTAAAGAATCGTCTGCAATGTGGGAGACCCAGGTTCGATCCCTGGGTTGGGAAGATGCCCTGGAGAAGGAAATGGCAACCCGCTCCAGTATTCTTGCCTGGAGAAGTTCACGGACAGAAGAGCCTGGTGGGCTAAAGTCCATGGAGTCGCAAAGAGTCAGACACGACTGAGCAACACACACACACACACACACACACACACACACACAATCTCAATTCCATTATTTTGAAGGGAACAGAACAAGAAAAGAGAAATAGAAGATTAAAAAATTTTAGACCTGGATTGCCTCAATTCATTACATAGCCCATTTATAGCAGAGCTGGTAATAGAAATCTAATCAAAAGTGCCAGTCAGAAAGGAAGCTGGGATGAAATAAAATGATCTAGTTGGAGTAGATTTCCATAAGTGGAAAACACAGCTATGTTTTAGGATTTCCGCTGGTATTTAGAGCATATCTCTGCCAAAACTTGAGGCTAATGCTTGAAGAGAGCTATATAGTTTCAGAAGCCAAATTGCTACCTGGGCTATAGATAATAGAGGACTAAACTAGAAACTGAAAGTAGAGAGTGCTAAAAAGCTTAACTACATTTGTATTAATAAAAACCATATACCTATACCAGATTCCTATCCTGAAATCTCCTCACATAATAGTCAAACAATGTTGTAGTCCTATCTAGTTGACAGAGCAGTATCATCCCAAGAAAGACAGAAGGGCAGCTACTGGAGGAAAGTAGCAGAAAAATTGCAATAGCAACCCCCAGTCTTCAAAAGGTAGAAAGTTTCCTGCAGTAGAAACTATAGAAGGCTTTCATGAGGAGAGAGTGCAAGAGGGTCCTCTAACCTAATTCCTAATACAGGAAGTAGGGAAAACTGACATTTGTTGCATGCCTACCCTTTCTACTGGTTGTCTGGCAATTATTTAATCCTTATAACTACCTAGATTTTACTGTAATTTGTTAGTTACACTCACTAACATAGAAAATGATGTGGTGTACCTATTTCTGAAGGTCAAACTTTAAAAAAACTGGTTTGTGCTGCCTTCCCACATTTGGATAAAAAAAAATTAATCTCATTTTTCTTTATGGAATAATAGTCTTCTCTCTCTGCCTGTCCCTTAAATATTGGTATTACATTGAATGTCCTTTTTTGACCCTTTCTCTGGGATATCTCAAATATCAACATATTTTTTCCTAAAAGCTGGGCGCACAAGGCCAAATGTCTTAAACATCTCCTCTTATATATCACACAGGCACCTAACACTCAACAATAACAATAGCAAATTCATACTGAATGCTTTCTATGTGCCAGAGTTCATTCTTAATTCTTTCCATGTTTCATCTTATTTAATCCTCCCAATGACAATATTCAGTTCAGTTCAGTCGCTCAGTCATGTCTGACTCTTGCGACCCCATGAATCGCAACATGCCAGGCCTCCCTGTACATCACCAACTCCCAGAGATTACTCATACTCATGTCCATTGAGTTGGTGACACCACCCAGCCATCTCATCCTCTGTCGTCCCCTTCTTCTCCTGCCCTCAATCCCTCCCAGCATCAGGGTCTTTTCCAATGAGTCAACTCTTCGCATCAGGTGGCCAAAGTATTGGAGTTTCAGCTTCAGCATCAGTCCTTCCAATGAACACCCAGGACTGATCTCCTTCAGGATGGACTGGTTGGATCTCCTTGAAGTCCAAGGGACTCTCAAGAGTCTTCTCCAACACCACAGTTCAAATGCATCAATTCCTCGGCACTCAGCTTTCTTCACAGTCCAACTCTCACATCCATACATGACCACTGGAAAAACCATAGCCTTGACTAGATAGACCTTTGTTGGCAAAGTAATGTCTCTGCTTTTTAATATGCTATCTAGGTTGGTCATAATTTTTGCCCCAAGGGGTAAGTGTCTTTTAATTTTGAAGTAGAACCTACTTTGTGAGTAAGAGGTACACATAAAAATTTAACAGGAAGGCCACTTTATAATCACAATAAGAAAGTTATGTGATCATGGAAATAAAAAATAAATTCTAAGAATAGTTTCTTGGGGCTTCCCTGGTGGTACAGTGGTTAAGAATCCACCTTGCAATGCATGGGACACCAGATTGATCCCTGGTGAAAGAGGATTCCACAAGCCATGGAGCAACTAAGCCTGTGTGCCACAACTACTGAGTTTGCACTCTAGAGGCTGTGAGCTGCAACTACTAAGCCATGTGCTGCAACTACTGAAGCCCACAAACCCTAGAGCCCATAGTCTACAACAACTGAAGCCACAATGAGAAGGTCCTGTATTGCAACTAGAGAGTAGCTCTCACTCACTGAAATTAGAGAAAGTCTGAGTGCAAAAATGAAGACCCAGCACAGCCAAAATGTAAAAATAAATAAAAAATTTTAAAAAAAGTTTATCAAAACAGATACACAATTAACAGGAAAAATACTGGATTTCTGAGGATAGGAAAAATAAAAATTAGGACAAACTGTCACAGTGACAATTATAATTAAAATTATTTGGGGATTATACTACTGTAAAAAGTAAAAATTATATAAACCTATGGGCAAAGCAATACCCTTAAAAGACAAATGGAAACAATGACTTAATTAGGTAATGCAATTATAATGGTTTTACAATTATATAAATTATGGGCAACTGTGTCTTCTTTTGTGTAATTTCTATTGTCTTTGTAATTATATAGCACAAAGAAATATTTGCAGTGATTAGAACAAGAATACGGATCTTTAGGAACTGTCAAAATGGAAATAATCTAGGTCATAAGATCTCAAATTTTAGCTAGAATCAGAACCACTTGAACAGCTTGTTGAAACAAGGTTACCTGGTCCTGCCCCCAGAGTTAGATTTAGTAGGTCTGCTATGGAGCCTAAGAATCTGCATTTCTAACAAGCTCCCAGTAAATGCTGATGCAACTGGTAGGGGGCCCACTTTGTTTAGATAATATTTGACTATGACATGAATTTTGGGATGTCAATTGATTGATTTCTTGTTCTCATCAGCAGTCTGGTGAATTTTGTTTTTAGCAGTATGTACCTGAACTCATTCCTTTGGCAAAATATACATGCTTCTGTGTTAAACTTATTTTTAAAAAGCAGTTTTATTGAAGTAAAATTAATATACAATAAATTTCACTTAAAGTACACAATTTGAAAATTTTTGTCATATATGTGACAACCAAAATAATGAACATATCTATCACTCATAAAAATTTCCTTGTCTTTTCAACAAATGGTGCTGGAAAAATGACATTCCCTGCAAAAAAAAAAAAATCTAAACACAGACCTTACACCTTCACAAAAATTAATTCAAAATGGATCAGAGACTTAAATGCAAAACATAAAACTCCTAGAAAATAACATGGGAGAAAACCTATATGACCTTGGATATGGTGGTGACATTTTAGATGTCACAACAAGGGCACAATCCACAAAAGAAATAATTGATAAGTTGGATTTCAAGAAAATGAAAAACTTCTGCTCTGCA